GGTCTGCAAACTGTTTCGGTGCTTGACGGCTTCCCGATTTCAAATACCGGTGCACACGTATCTCTAGCGTACATTTCCTAACAGGCATGTACATTTGTTCCAGTCTATGGCATGTTTGGTGCAGACAACACACCTACTGTCTCTAAACTTTAGACACCATGTTGAATAAGATACGTGCGGCGTGACTGAGACCTACACGCCACCATCTCCACTCCTTTCCAGTCAAAGTTGACCTTCAGTTAAGCTTTGTCTGCAACACAAAACTTCTCATCTTTCCCACAATCCACTGCAGTTGTGCACCTCGTCTACACCTGCACTGACGACGACCGGCATCGTCCACACCTGCACTGACGAAGACCGGCATCGTCTACACCTGCACTGACGAAGACCGGCATCGTCCACACCTGCACTGACGAAGACCGGCATCGTCCACACCTGCACTGACGACGACCGGCATCGTCCACACCTGCACTGACGACGACCGGCATCGTCCACACCTGCACTGACGACGACCGGCATCGTCCACACCTGCACTGACGAAGACCAGCATCGTCTACACCTGCACTGACGAAGACCGGCATCGTCCACACCAGCACTGACGACGACCGGCATCGTCCACACCTGCACTGACGAAGACCGGCATCGTCCACACCAGCACTGACGACGACCGGCATCGTCCACACCTGCACTGACGAAGACCGGCAACAGCTGCCCGCGGCCTCCTTGCTGACACTTGAGGAGATTTTATCTGCTACAAAATCTCTAGTCTGCAGCATGCGATACAGCTGCCTGCTCCGTTTCTTTGTATCTTTATTTTTCGATGACGGTGTACTTTCAATACTATTCTGTGTTGGTTTCCGGTGTGCGTTATAGTGGTTAGACAATCATCTCCCTCACCAACTGGTCCATTCTCCCGATATTTCCAGTACCCGCCTGGCCCGAGGCAGTCCTTCCCATATACTGACTACATTCCCTATGCTGCCCTTTCCGTCCCCATCAGAGCCGAAGGGGGGGGAGGTGGAGCTGGAAAATACTCAGAAAAGCACACAGTTTCCCATCGTGCATGAAGCCTGAGCACAGCAGCTGGAGGCCGGGGGACAGAACTGGCCCGAAGTGCTGGGGCGTCTCAAACCATGAGGCAGACATAAGAGCACAGGACACACGGACTAGCACCTGACTCGGTCAGCGGGCACAGCTCGGACATGTGACTGTTCGTGGCAGAGGGCACCGAGTCCAGCAGGGCAGACGGCCTCGGTGGCTATTTATCAGCACAGCAGACAAACACCAGGTTAATCGGGAGAAGTTCCTTCCAGTCCAGAAAGCAAGGCAATTTACAAGAGAAACATCAGATCTCAGCGGGGAAATGATACACTGACCGGGGTTCTATGAAGGAGGGGAAATGAAGCCATCTAAAAGGAAACAAGAATAACTTACGTTCCCAGGTGTATAAATGGGCGACAGCAATTTTAATTAGAAAAGAAACCAACTTGCTTAAAATGCCAGGAGAGATAAACGGAGAGACAGTTGGTGGGACTCTCCCGGGCACGCGAAGGTATCTCATGGGTACAGACTTCTAAACGTTTTTACCCCTCTTCTCAAATGGATATCGCAGCTCTGTGACAAGCCTACACTGGGCCCAGGTAAATCTGCTCTCTGTCTCCCTGGGTCTGGGACCGGACCACAGCCCTGGCGTCGATCGGCGGCAGGGAGGAGACGTTCCCTGCGAATGACTGACCCCGGCGCTCGCCCGAAGTCCTGGTGGGAACCTGAGCCGCACCAGCACCCGTGTCAACCTCCTCCCTGAGTGAGAACATCCGTCTCCTGTCACCGCTTTCACTCAACCTGTATTCAGTGCTTCTGCGCAGGACATGAGGTCCCCAAACTCGGACGCAATGTGCACTTTACTAGGGAAGATAACAGATACGTGAACAGCTGTAGGTCACGGTGGCCCGGGGGGTTGAGAGACAGGACGAGCAAAATTCGGAGTCAAGACAGGTGCCGTCTGATGGGGGCATCTGGAAAGGCCCGTGGGGACGACCCTGTGGCCCCCTCGGAAGACTGGCTGAAGGCCAGCTGTGTGGACGGACGGACGGACACAGTGAAGACACAGTCTTGGGAACACGGATCCCTACTGCTGGGTGATAATGTTATTCGATCGGTGGCTTGCGCCGGTAACCGGAGCAGGGACGTGGCCTCCGTGCTGCGGAAGGCCACGCGGTTAAACAGTAGCAGCCTGCTTGAGGAAGGAATAACCCAAAGTCTGCTCTGGGAAAATTAATGCGGTATAAATAGCATGATCTTAATATTTTAAATGCATAGACACGTAGGCTGCACACCAAGAGATGAACCGCAGCTAACTCTAAGCGGGGGCATCGTGGGCGGTTTTCTGCTCACCTTTGGTGTCAGTTCCTGGCATCAAGCAGGCACCACCAGTGCGACAGTGGCGATGCTTGGTGAGCCTGGCACTGCGAGGCGGGCTAGGAGCAATGGAGAAACCAGAAGTGTGCGAATAGCCCGGCTGTCGGAGCCCTGGCGAAGCGGCCAGTGGAAACAAAGGCCCCACCGCAGGAAACCGGCGCGGAGCTGTGAGTCAGGACCCAGAGCGGAGAACGACGCTCAGGCCCCAAGCCCGGGCGAGACGCTGCCGCGAGACCGGAGGGAGGCGCTGGCTGCCACCGAGCAAGCACAGGGCCTCCCTGCTCGCGGGGGTCTGAGGCGTCAGCAGACTTTCCGAGTGGAACACCCAGCAAGTGGCTGTAACGAGGGCATTTCATTCATTCCTCTACCGGCCGAGCGCGGCACTCGGCACGCAGACCACCCGACCTCAAGAAGCACACGAGTAAAGAAAAACTCCACACGTATAAAAAGTAATGCGCCGATCACACCGGGGCCTGTGCACACCCATCACACTGGGGCCTGGGCACACCGGGGCCTGGGCACACCCATCACACCAGGGCCTGGGCACACCGGGGGCTGGGCACACCCATCGCACCGGGGCCTGGGCACATCCATCACACTGGGGCCTGGGCACACCAGGGCCTGGGCACACCAACCACACTGGGGCCTGGGCACACCCATCACACCAGGGCCTGGGCACACGGGGGCTGGGCACACCCATCACACCAGGGCCTGGGCACACCGGGGGCTGGGCACACCCATTGCACCGGGGCCTGTGCACACCCATCACACCGGGACCTGGGCACACTGGGTCCTGTGCACACCCATCACACCAGGGCCTGGGCACACCGGGGCCTGGGCACACCAACCACACTGGGGCCTGTGCACACCCATCACACCAGGGCCTGGGCACACCCATCACACCAGGACCTGGGCACACCGGGGCCTGGGCACACCCATCACACTGGGACCTGGGCACACCAGGGCCTGGGCACACCGGGGCCTGGGCATGCCACAGCAGCATCAGCAGGGAGTCAAGGACGCTCCTAGGAGGATGGACGGCTTACACGGGGCTTCTAAAGAGGAGGAGGCATCAGGTAAGTGGGAGGAGAGAGGGAGAGGGCCCAGCTGAGTGGAGGAGGAGTCAAAGGAAGGAAGCGTGGGAACAATCGCCTTCGGTCCGGCCGCAAAGCCCAACCTCGTGGAGTGAGAACGGTGGGCTGTGCGGCTGGGCAGGGCTCTCCTGGACCTCCCCACGCAGGGGCACAGAGGGAGGAACAAGGGGCTCAGGGTTGGTGGGGTCCCTGTCACGGGGACTGGGCGTCATCTCCTAGGGAGTGAGCAGCGATCAGGGACTTTGAAGCAGGCGTGATGCGCAGTGTCAATCGGGAAGGAGATCCGGGTTGGAGACAGAGGAACCGGATTTATCAGACGGGACAAGGCCAAGCCCCTGAGCCTCCCAGCGTGGTGCCACACTGCCCGAGCAGGGGCTGATGCTCTGCCGCCTGGCTCTGTCCATGGGCTGTCTCCCCACTGCGCTCCCCGGGGCACGGTCGATGTTCTATAAAATCACGATGGAATAGCTCTCATTTCATTTAATGCCATTATACAGTTCTTATTTTATAAATTGTGCCTGTATCCGTCTCTTTAGATAGATTTCAAATGCTGACCTTAAATAAGAACCGCACATAATCCAAGATACTTTCCTTTTTTAAAAGGCCTTTGTCTCTGTTCGTTCATTTAAAATTTACTGACGAGCAAGCCCTGGCCAGTGTGGCTCAGTCGGTTGGGCACTGTTCTGTGACCCTGAAAGTCTCTGGTGTGATTCCCGGTCAGGGTACATACTCAGGGTGCGGGTTTGGTCCCCAGTCGGGGTGCATACACGAGGCAACCGAGAGATGTTTCTCTCTCTCTTTCACCCCTTCTCCCTCTAAAAATCAATTTTAAAAAAGTTATTGACAAGCGTGTGTGTGTCTGCGTTAGGACATCTGTAAGGACAGCTGGGCCTGCAGGGGACTGAAAACCAGGAGCAGACACAACGGATGAGCCGAGTTTTATTAAAACATTTTTTTCCCCTGTATTGATTTGAGAGAGAGAGGAGAGAGGGAGAGAGAGATAGAAACATCGATGAGAGAGAACATCGACTGGCCGCCTCCTGCACGCCCCGTACTGGGGATCGGGCCCACAACCTGGGCGTGTGTCCTGACCGGGAATCGAACCAGCGACTTCTAGGTGCCTGGGTCGACGCTCAGCCCCTGAGCCACACCGGCCGGGCTCTTAGCCCCTTTTAAAACCGTATTTCTACGTATTGACCTTCAAGGACCTGTACACACAGGGCTCAGGTCGGTAATGAAATCGAGCTTTAGCAACAATTCCCAGAATTGCCAAAAACTCTTGAAATTGGTTGGAATCTGTTCATAACACCGGAATTTTATTTTTGCCTGAAGCATTTATATTTGATTACGTTTATTCATTCTGGAATTTTTCATCAAGTTTTTTTTCAAACTTTTCATTCTGCTCCCCCCTCCAAGGGGCATGTTCCTTTAAATTTTACTTCCAATTTCTCTGATCCAGTCATCTGTTGCCTCAATGTCCCCCCAATTTTCCTCTCCTGTGTTATTGTCTACTTGTTGGAAATAATGTGATCAGGCCAGCAAATGACTATCTTATTTTATTTATTTATTTATTTATTATTATTTTTTATCCTCACCCGAGGACATTTTTGCATTTATATTCAGATAGAGCGGGAGGGAGAGAGAGAAACATCGATGTGAGAGAGACACATCGAGTGGTTGCCACCCACATGACCCCAACCAGGGCCAGGGACAAACTGCAACCAAGGTATGTGCCCTTAGCGGGAACCGAACCCGGGACTCTCTGGTCTGCGGGCCGACGCTCTAACCGCTGAGCCAGACCGGCCAGGGCTCAAATGACTATTTTATTATCTCCTTCACTCTAGAAATCCAATGAGCACAGAAGTTATTTTTATTTTTAATATTTTTACCTACTAACAGGTAAAAAGCAAGGCCCATTTGTTTATACACTAGTCATCGGCCCAGTGTCTAGCAGAGGAGATTGTGTAGCATGAAAAACATAAGAATAGGAATAAGAAGAACAGAAATGGATTCTCTGTCTGAAAATGGTATATTTGTGATAAATCACTTCTTTCTCATCCATTTCTTTATTTTTTACCTGGATGTTTCCACTCACCAGGGGGCATGTCACTAGAATTCTGCAGTCTCTTTTACAAAGAAAGTGATGGTTGTAACTAGAATATATGTTAACTAGCGAACGGATTCTCCTTTGGATGTGTTTTGGATATTTTCAGTTTCTCTTAATTAGTCCCTTCTCTCCGGAGGCTGCAGAGAAAAGGATGGAATCTCATTCATATTTATGAAAACCATGATCTTAACAGCACTGTTTCCCTTGGATTATGTGGAAAGCATGGGCATATTCTTCTCTTTTCTTCAGACGGTTTGTCCTCAACTTCTCCTTCTTAATAAAGAAATCTTGTTCTCCAGTAAACACACATATATACGCACCCCACATGTATATCCCTACAGATTCATTTTACATAATTTATGTAAAATGTCAAAGAATCACGCTTGAATGCCTCCTGCCCACTTAGATGTCTGAAGTTGTTTATTTAGCTCAAAAAATGTGAATGTTCGCGAGATGCTAAAAGAAACAGATTTCACGGACTGATGTCGGGCTAAGGAAAAGGCTTGAGAGTCATTCTGTCACAACCTCAAGGTCACGCCATGAAATAACTTTGGGGCTGGAGATGTCTTTCGGAAGGCGGGCCTTCTGTCAGTGGGTGATAGTCAGGACGGTGAAGAAAGAGAGGAAACAACATGTGACGAGCCTTGTGGGTGGCGACCTGCATGGTGGTGGCGGTCCTCACGAGAACCTCGGGGGAGGCCGCAGGTGCACACGGCACGGCTCTGTCCATTGCGCCCACTGTGCCCCCGGAGCCTGACCCGTGTGGACTCCATCAATGTGCCCCTTACCCTCTACTTTCTAGGGCCAATGCAGAGACACTGGCAAGAGGGCGAGGTCAGGTTCCCTCGTTCCAGACCCATCAGGGCACCCTGGCTGCCTCTGCCCCTCAACCAAAGGCCATGATTCCTTTCAAAGCTGCTAACCTAGTAAGTCCTCTCCTACCAGGTTCTGATGACTGCTTCCTGTCCTTGTCCTTTGGACCGAGGGACACGTAGCAGCTCTGGTGCTGCCAGATGCAGGTGACCTCACTAGTGACCTATGTTTCCCCTGAACCACACCTTCGCCAGTGATCTACTTGCAGATGACGGCCATGGTCACACTTTTCCCGGGCCTTGGGTTCCCACGGGAAGTCTGCCGGAGACACACTGTGCTGCTGTACATGCTGATGGTACTGCTCTGTGCCTACTGAGGACGCTCGAGAGGCCATGCAACTGGGCAAGTGTCACCGTGCGAATAACCGTGAGCCTAGGCACAGACTGTCTGGTCAAAACCACAGAACTCATACACATGTATGCATAACCGATGGACATGGACAACCCAGCTGGGGATGGGGTGGGGGAGGGGGATGGGGAGGAGGGTGCCAATGGGGGAAAAAGGAGAAACATCTGTAACAAAAATAAATTAATAAAAAAAAAAAGTGGGCTCTTCCCATTGTCCTCACTGCTGCCTGGCAAAGAAATCTACAGACGTGTGTCCGTCTCATAACATATAATTTACGTGTTAATATGTATCATATGCACACAGGCTACATAGATCCGTAACACATGAAACTGCATCATAAGAAATTCAGTTTCCATCCCGCCCAGAAGAGAGCAGGTGGGTCGCCCTCACTGGGACAGTCACGAGCCAACGGAAGGACGCTGCCCCGCGGTGCTGGACTCGGCACCGGCCACCGTGACGCAGTCACTCCCACGGCGCTTGTAAGAAACAAGCCGGTGAGCAATCCCAGCTTCTCTTTAGAAAACGACAAAACAGTACAAAAGAGGTGTGTGCTCAACTCTTCCGTGACGTCCTCTCTGGGATGGACTGTGGACAAGGAGGACACAGGCGTGGGGGCGGCTGGGAGTCGGGGGGATAATCGGAGAGGTCTACACACTCACCACTTAGTGAGGGGCGGGAGGAATGCTTGCACACTCTACACAGCTCTTATGTACAGTCGTGCGAAAAAACTGCCACAATATGCCCTACGTGGTCAGCCTATATTACATGGAACATAAAGAAGCTCTTCATAGGAACGAGACCTTCTCATTATTGTTGACATTCATGTTCTAATATTTGTAAATATACACAATTAAATAAAAAAATATATGTGTCTATGTATGTGCCTGCATATATCTATATAACATCTGAGTGTGTGTATACATACACACACCATGTATACACATGTACACACACACATGTATACACATGTACACATACACACATAGATGGTTAAAGAGACAATGTTTTTCTTCAGTTCACCTAAGTTAACAGCACTGAAACATCACTGTTGTTTTTTTTTTAACAGCTTATTGAAACAGAGCACACATTTTAAGTTGATGAGAAAGTGTGTGTCTGTTATATACGAGCAGCTGAAGTGGCCGAACAAACGCGTGGTCGCTACACCTCACCGCGGAGAAGACAGCGACATACAGTTGTGAGCCGTCACACTTACACAAAGAAGAACCGGGTGCAGACGTGATCGGTATTTGGGACGACCCATATCTCTCCGTGTTTGTGCAGGTCTGGTGAGGTGATCACTGTGAGCGAGAAGAAAAATTGAAGAACGGCTTTATTCTAAGTTATTACATCCCATCTCTTAGAAAAACCTAAATGCAAAAGGCATGCAGAACTCACATACGAAATGTGGTGAACCTGATTAGCGATCAGGAAATGTACAGGAAAACTACGAGATGCCACTCAACACTGGTAGTGTGGTAAGAGGCCGGAAGTCACTGGTGTCTCAGCTAATGGGCAGGGGTCCTGGCTTCCCGGACTCTGCAGAATGCAACCGGTGTCCCACAGAACCAAGTGTCCCGGGCTTACAAGGCAGTTCACAGTGGCTGCCCAAACGCCCAACACAAAGTCCAACTTCGTGTGTGTCAGAGTCAGATTTTAAAGCAAGAACAAAGTACGTCCAGCCGGTGTGGCTCAGTGGCTGAGCATCGATCCATGCACCAAGAGGTCGCCAGTCCCATTCCCGGTGAGGGCACATGTCCAGGTCGTGGGCCCCATCCCCAGGAGGCAGCCAATCAATCAATGTTCTCTCTCATCAATGTTTCTATCTCTCTCTCTCTCACTTCTTCTCACTCTCAAATCAATACAGGAAAAGGAAGGAAGGGAGGAAGGGAGGAAGGAAGGAAGGAAGGAAGGAAGGAAGGAAGGAAGGAAGGAAGGAAGGAAGGAAGGAAGGAAGGAAGGAAGGAAATAATCTTACAAACTGACCAGCTTAATTTTTCTGTCCCAAGATCACCATAGAAAAACAAGTTCGGTTTAGGAACAGAAAGACCTGGTGGGCTATCTCAGGGCTCGGCTGGTCTTTATAATTTTTCATAATATTACACATTCCAAAGCCAACTGAAAGAGGAAGGAGGCCTATGCACACGAGAGAGAAGCACGACTTGATCAGGAAGACATCGCTGACACTCCGAAATAGACACCAAGGATGAAACAGAGCCCTGTCCGAATCCTTGCCAGCTCGGCTCTCTGCTTTACCCTTTATGATCTCTCATGGACCCGTTTTCCATTTGTGCCCTTAGAGGTGGCCATGAGGAATAAGGCTTTCACTGTCCTATCATGAGCATCCTGTAAAGATATCCAAATTCCTAAACACAGATAAGACAGACAGTTAATGACAGGAGGTCTGCAGAAACCACAACTTACCTTCACATAAGGCTATGCATTTTAGGTTACGGCTCTGCAGGAATTGGGATTGCTGTCCTTTCTTCTGTGACTAAATTCCAGAAGAATGTAAAAATCAGAGTGAAAATGGGTCAGTCACTAAGCTGATCATAATTTTAAAATAACAGTCACTGAGACAGCTCCAACATTTTTAAAAGGCCCACCGAGACTAGCAGTAATGTCCCCGACCTCTCCCTTAAAGGCTAGCTATGTCTGCTACATCGTTCAATTCTGTACGTGATCATTATTAAATCTCTCCCAAAGTAAGTGAACTAAAAAGCACAAAATTACAGTTCAATCGTCTCACAACACAGAATTAGAACTCCAATTTAATTGCAACAGAAACCTGGACTCTTGACCACACGGGAAACAAAATTAAAGTAGCACGAGCTTCTCCAACCTAAACTCAAGAGTTTCCAGATCACCGCACTATGCAAAACCAGCTCCCGCGTGTAGCCTCACTAAGCCACAGAGGTTTCAGATTTGCCTCTTGGGGAACATCGGGGGTTTTGTTTTCAGATATTCAATAGCTATCTTCTTTTTAAAATTAAAAAAAAAAAAGTAAAAGTCACATTATTCATCAGGTGGATTTTATTTGTCCAGAAAGTTTGCTTTCTTTGAAACAAGGGATCTGTACCTGCTTTGCTCTCTGCCTGGGACGGTCTTCCTCCCGGAGAGCCACCACCTACTGCTCTCCCGAAACAGAGCCTTCTCCAGCATCCTTTCCTGACATTCATTCTAAGTCTGGTTCTACCGTTCTGGTTCTATCTTCCATGTTGCAGCATTCGACATGCTCTTTCCCGATCTCCCTCTGTCAGATTCACCACCATCTAGCATTCTGCCTCCACCATCTAGCATTCTGCCTCCCTGAATGTGTATCTCGTGTATTTATCCCTACCCCGTGGAAGGCAGGCTCCCAGAGGATTTTTCTACTTTTAATTGTCATTGCAGCTTAATGTCTTGGAGAGTCTCCAGCATTCCAGCAGGGGCTCAATAAATATTTGCTGGCTATTTATTGACTAAAGGCACTTTGGTTATTACATTTGAGGGTGAGTTTCATTCCTCTGTGAGTAATGACCACTTAAAATAAATCTGCAGTCCTAAAGAGCCCACGGATGTACTGCAACCCCGCTGGCTCACGGAGCTGCGGTCCACCCGCCACGCGCGGTCACTCGGGTTGCTACGCCACCTGGGACACGTTGCTGCTTTTGCTGCTGGAAGCCGGCTCATCCTTGGCTGACACCTTCTGCTTCTTGTTCATCCCTGAAAACATCAGCAAGACAATCATTTACGATCAAAGCTGCAGGACGCGGCTCAAGACTCAGCCCGTCTACAGTGCCAAGTAGCACTTCGGGCAAAGGTCTGGTTGCATCAGGCCACTGACGGTGACAATGGCCTGTGGACGGAGCAGTCTCTGTGTCCTCAGCACCCTAGTAGAAGCAGACCGTCCGTTTGTTTTTCTTCACATTTAAACAGGAATAGGAAATTCTCTTGCAGGAAACTGACTTAAGAAGACAATTCTTAAAACTGGGTTTGGAAAGGCTTTTTGCAAGGCATCCATTCATTCATTCTTGCCCTCCGGTTAGTAGGAGGACAAGATGGGGGGGGGTGTGAACAATATAAAAAATATTTATAGACCGTAACTTCAGCCCACGAATTGTTGATATAGGTTCAATTTCACGTAGAATTTACTCGTTCTCCCAATGAAGGAAAATTATGTATCCTTTGCCTCTGACACTCCAATGAGCTTCCTCGTTAATGCCACGGTTTTTTTACTGTGACATATTTCGGACCCAACGGGACTGAAATTCCCGTGTCTTCGACTTGGGGGATGTGTAGCTCTAGTTTATTTGAAAACGCTCACTGACTGATCTGAAGCGAGGAGGCCTGTTCATGTTTGTTGTTGCTGCTGTTTCTATAGAAGGCTGACGGAGAAGGGGCAGAGCCTGCGGACCAAATGCAAACTGTGCACACAGCCTTTTCCCGAGAGACTGCTCTGCTCGGCACCCCAAGACCTGCCGCCCTCGCAACCAGCAGGAAGCTACTTCATCTTACTGGCTCTTCCATTTCTTTCTGATCAAAGGTACTTCACGAATCTGATGACAGCGATGGGCCCTCCACCCAAATGAATGAACATTCTCACAAATTTTACATCCACCTGAATCCCCCCGCCCGGTCCTTCCCCTGAACCCATCTCAGGCGTCTACACACCAACTTCAGAAGCAGAAACATCAATGCTTCGTTGTGTTTCCTCCTCTATATGGAGGATGTTTTTATTGAAAGTGGTTTTACATTAGTTTTTTTTTTATTGTGCTCTGTTTTAATAAGACTGAAAGTCTGATTTACGCCGATTTTAATCGTCTCCATTGAACTAGGTCATTCTATCTCCTGCGCTATCTCCTTCTCCCTACTGCTATTTTCAGCGTCGACAGGTTGCACTTTCGAAGATCGCTGCAGCGACGTTTCTCAATCCACGCGCGTTCCCCGCGCGACCCTGCGCGCTTCATGAGGAACAGTCTGACGACCCAGGCCTGACTCAGGGGGCGCGGGCAGCTGTGGGCAGTGTGGGCAGGACGCGGCGCCCTCCGTCGTGAGGCGGGGGCAGAAGAGGCCTACGGGGCCCGCCTCCCTGAGGACAGGTGCTCTGCCAAAGGGAAGGCGAGCCCCTGAGAAACGCGCTCGGACTGGAAGAGCGTGAGCCAGGGCGAAGGAACGGGTCGCCCACTTCAGCGTCCGCCCCGTTAGACCCCCCAAGAAAGTGCCCCTTTCTATCAGGGGACCTGACCATCCAGGCACCACAGAACGTACCCCCGAGGTTGTTTAACACACTCATATAAACACATACACACACACGCAGACACATGCAAACACATGCGTGCACACATGCACATGCACCACAGAATGTATCCCCGAGGTTGTTTAACACACTCATATAAACACATACACACACGCGCACGCACACTTGTGCACGCACACTTGTGCACGTGCACACACACATGTGCACACACGCACGCACACATGCACTCACAGAAGCAAAATCACTCTTCAGGCAGATAAATGAATATAAAAGCGTTAAAACTCTAACGGGAAACGCACTGAACACAGGTTGTAGAAAAGAAAAAAACATTTTCACTGGTTAATTACTTAATATTTAAACAGAATAAATGATTGTTCTAAAAAATGACACTGATCATGGTAAAATAGTCCAAAAAGTTTTTCAATAAAAATAAGAAATCATCTCCAATCCCACCACCTGAGGGTAATAATTGCTAACAATTTGATTTTTTTTCACACAGTTTCATAAAAATATTAACAAGAAGCTACCAACAAGCAGGGTGATATTAAGGGCGTTTGTTTTCTCTAATGCTACCATCTCCACACTGTGGAAAACGTCTATAGCGGATAAATAAAGATCCAGATATGAGGTTGACATGCTGGAGAACTACACTCAGTGACGTAATAGGTATGAATACTTTTCAGCATTTTACTGACGGACAGACTACAGAAACTACTGAAACAACACTGAAATGGATTTTGAAATTGACGAAACCTATAGACCTTCACAGACACCAGGGGCATTAACATAAATTCATCTTGAAATGTCAGCTTTGTTTTGCTTCTGACATTCATCAAAAATATTTAATACACACATGTCACATGAACGTCAGTCCCCTGACAGAAAGCCGTGCCCGGAACATACGACGACAAAGAGAGAGGAGCGCGACCCATCGGAGGTCAGACGGAAGCGCGGGCTTACCTGAGTAGCCAAACGATATGCTTGACATCGGACTTAGGTAGATCCCGCTTCCGTACATGGCACCGTGGAGCTGCAACGGGCAGAGACGGGAGAGAGCGTCGGCCGCGATTCCGAACGAGCATTTCACGAGAGGAGGCAGGCCCTCGGGGGAGCCGGCTGCCAGAACACAGTCACGTCTCCTGGCAAGGTCTAACTGGAAGGTGGCGGTGCTGACACCCTTGTCCTTAACACTCGGGGTGAGCCGATACGTGGAAAATGACAGCCAGAGGGAAAGTCCCTCTCCGACGACAGAGAGCCACTCACGACAACGTACAGCTTTCGCGTTCATGAGTCTGAAACCCTGCAAGCCAAACGGGCTGAAACACGGGGCAGAATCTGGGGGAGCACCCACATGTCAACACCTCGACCAAGCGTCCTACTCAGATCTGCGTCGTACAACACGGTCACCCCGCTCTGAGCCTCTCTGTTGTTCAAGTTACCGAGTTTCATGAGCTGAAACTCCGACTGGACTGAGAAACTACTCGGAACAATGGAGCTTCCCTTTCGGTAGCTCTGTGTTCCAGGACCGTGCACCTTCTCGGGTACACACTGAACTCATGAACGTGTGCGTGCGATGGGGTCATCTCAGCCGCAGCGTGTGGGGTCTGGCCTAGGTGACTGGGGTGAGGGTCTCATGTCCTGACCTCCCACACCCTCAGATGGAAAAGGGCCCGACAGTCCTGGGGATGTCGGCCAGGATGGGCATGAATGGAGATGAGGACTGGACCACGGGGCGGCCAACTCCAATGTGTCTCCGGAGGCCAAGCAGCCGGCGGATGGCCGTTCAGTATCAATCGGCACTTTCCTGGTCGTCAGCCCCATCTTTTCTTCTTTTATTTTATTTATTTTTTTATTTCTTAAATCCTCACCTGAGGACATTCTTACACTTATCTTCAGACAGAGCGACAGGGAGAGAGAGAAAGAGAGAAACATCGATGCGCGAGAGTCACATCGAGTGGTCGCCACATGCACGACCCCAACCGGGGCCGGGGACGAACCACAACGGAGGTGCGTGCCCTTAGCTGGAATCGAACCCGGGACTCTGGCCCGCGGGCCGACGCTCTAACCCTCAAGCCACACTGGCCAGGGCCATCTCTCCTTCTTTTCAAGAATTCACCACAAAGCAGTGCTCAAAAAACGTGTGTTCAATGAACAGACAGACTGCTTGGCGGATGTCACTTCAGTGTGACCACTGTTTCTACTGAAGTTCAAGTGATTTCACTGCTTTCTCACAAGCATGTTGACGGTCAACTCTTCCTCCCGGGCTGTGCACAGGGCCTCTCTGCTGCAGTTCCTCCGTGGAAACCACTCAATGCCAACTAAAACCCCCACGTCATCTTAAAACACCCAAACAGGTTCTCTCTTCACAAGAGGAACACACACCGGGACCGCTTACGGAGCCCCAGCCGCGCGCACAGAACTCACCTGCAGCCTCGTGTTCGAAGCGACCACCAGGCCGTTCCTCAGGATGGAGTGCCAGTTCTCAATGTGCGAGCCACTGCAACAGAGGGGAGACAGCCCCAAACCATGGTCCTTTACGCCGCAATCACACGCGCGGAACAGTGACAGCAAGTTCTCAGCCAGGGAGGTTTCTGGAGCCCACGGCTCAGCGCTGGTTGCCGCCAGCTACCGAAAGGGCAGGTTCTCGCCCCCACGCTTCTGAAGACGGAGGTGGAGCGCCCCGCCCCCCCAGGCACACTCACTGAAATGCAAAGGTGCTTCCGAAGAGTTTTTTAGCAGCTCTGAAGTTGGCTTCTTTGGCTGGTGGGCTGCTGAGGAGAAGGAACTGGTGAGGGGTGTGCATGAACTTCAGTTGCTGCCATGGGAAAGAACGAGAAGAAAACAGGTGCCCTGTCACCTACACTTAGGCGGCAGACCGGTCCGCATTCTGCGGTTTAGGCACCAGCCAGCTTCACGCCATCACACAATGAGGCCGATCACATTAACAAGAGCCTTCGTGAAAGGAACAGAAACCAACCCTGCAGGAAGGACACCTCATGGCACTGCTGGTATGAAGGACTCCTTCGGCCAACAGAACACAGAGGACCGACAGTCCTGTCTGACTTTCAGCTCCGGGACACGCGACGCCGTCCCGGTCGAGGTCTGCCTTCCTGGCTACGTTTCTTCTTAAGCATTCCGTTACTAAGTCCCCCAAGTCCACACTAGCTGATCGACTGTGCAAATAGTCTGGGCGTTTGCTGAGCAAAAAGGAGAGTTTGTTCAAGGGGTTTACATGGCAAACCTTGCCATCATCATGCTGCATTTGCACAGATTTATAGAACTGGGAATCGCCTACATTCAAACAGTGTTTCCGGCTTTGTTTGGAGACAGAAATGAAAACAGAACCTAGTGGCTTGAACACATTTTCTGACGGCAGCCTGTCCCCTGGGAAGACAACCACACAGGGATGCAGTCCAGGGCTCACGGAGGAGTCGAGATGTCAGACACAGCTCGGGGATCATCGGAACAGAAAGCAGAGCGCATGAGCTTTCTCAGTATTTTGTTAGTGTTGGGCTGATCAGAAAGATATCTGGAGGCATTATCATCCCCGATATAGAAAGCAGAGCTGTGTCCACAGCAGACTGACGATGATAAAAAAGCACATTACCTTCTCCGGTCGATCCCTAGATAGCGTTCTTTCTATCACCTTTGGAATAACTGTCTCATATTGACTCTGATTTTCTTTAAAGGTCAGGGCAACAGCCTGAATTCGAATTTGGAATCTTGGAAAGGCCTGAACAGGTAGGCAATTCCACACGAAAAATTAGCCTCGACCTGAGTCTACTTTCATGTCCCGAGGAGGCGGCCGAATAACTCACAGGGTCATTTCTCCCAACTCCTAAGTGCCCCTCCCGTTCCCCCCAAACACGAGGAAAAACAACTTACCCTGTTGACTGGCAGTTTCACAATGTGGGACCTATTACTTGAAATAACCCTGAAATTAATTAAAATAATCCATCAGTCAAGGACGTTTGCCAAATATATTTCAAGTTTTATTTCTTAGTTGGCAAGTGATTGAGACTTACGCTCACTGTTACATAAACTAAATTGAGAAATAATTTTATTTAATGACATCGTTATGCTTTGCTTCCTAAAACAATTTAAAGAGCTTACGTAACAAAATGATGTTATCCTTAGAGATACTTTAATCTTTATTTTAAAACTTAAGATAGAATTTTTAATAATCGCAATCTCAGAAATCAGCAAAATGAACATCTCTGAATATACTTTCAAATAATGATAATCTAAATAACACAAAGAAGTTGATACCTACATCTATTTCCTTTGCTGCTCTCTACATCACCTAACTGAAAATTAATTTTTAATCAAGATCTTTTTCTTTTAGTATTTGAGAATCTCTTTTCGCTGATATATACAATGATTTATACACAAACTGTTATTCAACATATTTAGACACTGAAGTTGAAAAAATTAAATTCAGGTATCTCTCTGAAAGAACTGTTTCATGTATACAAAATAATAAGCAGAAAAAAATGGTAAAACATTTTGGTAGATTTTTTTTATTTTTCCTTGAAAGAAGATTGACTGCCTGGCCGGTGTGGCTCATTGGACTGAGCATCGTCCCAGGGACTGCGAGGTCCTGGTTTGATTCCCGGTCAGGGCACATGCCCGGGATGCAGGCTCCATCCCCAGTCGGGGGTGTGCAGGAGGCAGCAGATTGATATTTCTCTCTCACATCCATGTTTCTCTCTCTCTCTCAAAAAATCAATAAAAACATATTTTAAAAAAAGAAGATTAACTGATAAGCTGCAGGGAATGATCACAAATAATTAAAGGTTAATAATCAGGCTGATTTCAGGGGAAAAAGGAAATGAAATACCCGAGATTTGTACCTTCATTCTGAATGTGACTTAATGGGAGAATTTTTAAAAATTAAAACAAAAACTATAAGTTATTTTACCGAATTCAGAATTTGATTTTAATCCTCACCTGAGGACATTTTTGCCTTTATATTCAGATAGAGCGGAAGGGAGACAGAGGGGAAGAGAGAGAGAGAAACATCGACGTGAGAGACACATTGACCAGCTGCCACCCACATGACCCCAACCGGGGACAAACTGCCACCGAGGTACGTGTCTTAGCGGGAACCGAACCCAGGACTCTCTGGTCCACAGGCCGATGCTCTAACCGCTGAGCCAAACGGGCCAGGGCTGAATTCAGAATTTTAATAATAGACCATAAAACATTCAAAGAAGAAAGACTTCTAAACCTAATTTTTGTCACAGTCTTATTAGACAATTCAGTGTGTACTGTACAATTCTGACCAAGGGAAAGTTAAGTGATCAGAATCACGAGGTATTTGGAGTCTTTAGCCTTCGCCTGTCTTTACCTAATCTTTTTTTTTTTTTTTTTATCCTCACCCGAAGACATTTTTTTCCATTTTTTGTACAGATAGAGTGGGAGGGAGGGAGAGGAAGAGAGAGAGAGCGAGCGAGAGAAACATCGACGTGAAAGGGACATACCAAGTGGCTGCCACCTGCACGACCAACCAGGGCCGGGGACAAACTGCAACTGAGGTACATGCCCTTAGCGGGAACCGAACCCAGGTCTCTTTAAAAACTGCCTGGCTGCAGGACGGAGTAAACACTATTCTCTCCAACCTCTTAGAATCGTTACATTTGTATCACTGCATGATAACCGTGGTACATTCCACAGTCTGAATTTTCAGAAGAGGCCTGTACACGGAACCCTTACGGGTATGGTGAGCAGACACCGTTTTCATTCGGAAATGAGAAAACAGAGGGCATACGATCTGAATGGCATTCTGCAAGGTGCGTCCTCGACCCGCCCCCGGTCTCAGCCTGGCCCCTGCTGGACTCGGATGCCCCCCACAGGCTCCCTCGGAAACACTGCCTCACCGGCAGTCACCAGACATGGGGCTCATCTGACTGACACTGTCTCCTAAGGGAGCAAATTCTACAAAACATACATTTCAGACACATGTTCAATAGTGACTGAGTTTTTGCCACTTAGTCCTCAGTTAACTAGAAAAGTAAATGAACCCCAAACGGCTTCACCCGATAATCTCCTTGTTTAACATGACAGTCAGGTGAAGTCCACTGTGTGTCCACGTGGGGCACAGAGAGGGCTGTCTCCCCTTTGCAATGCGCGAGGTCTAACGACAGGGAGCGTCGGTCGGACCCGTGGACTGTGACGTCACCAGCTCAGGGGCACAGAGCTGGGCACGGCCGGACCGGTAAGAGGCTCGCCCCTGAGGTGGGCAGGGGAAACTGAGTCACTTACCATTGCAGCAGTGGGTGTGCAAGGGGGTCCTGCTTGTCCATCTGCTTCTTGATTTCCAGGTACGGAGCCTGAAAGAAAGTCGTCACCCTTCTTCACTGTCCTTGAAAATTCCCTTTTTTTTTTTTTTTGGCAGAAGGAAAATCAGCTTCAACAGGCAGGTTTGCCTAAACCTAGTGACACTTGAAAAACTGCAGCCGTGACATGGTCACAGCAGCAATGACAACAAGGACCCCAGTGGCTCCCCCCACCCCTTGACGTGAGCTCCGCCCATTCCTGAGGCAGGGAGCCGGTACTGGAACATTCTGCAGAGATGTTAGTGAAGCACTAGGCGTGTCCCTAAAGGTGACCCCAGGCCCCCTGCTGAGTCTTTGCTCAAGGACACTCAATGCCGCCAAACCATACAGGTGTGTTGTACCAACCAAATGGCCTACGTTTTCAGTAATTCTCCACGGACCCCTCCTTCATTTTCCATATTCCGCAGGCCCGTCTTCGCTCCTCCTCAGCCCTTGCTCCCTCTCTGTTCTCTTTCAAAATGTGAGTGACCTGTCTCGGCTGGGGGTGAGCTCAGCTCCCACCGCAGTCCTCCGAACAGAATCTGTCCTGCCACTTCCAATGAGCGCCCCCTGGCGTTTCTCTTGGACAGTGACCACTTTTAACTTTGACCCTGAACTAAAACTTGCAGAAGCTCCAACTCAGGCTCGTACAGGAAGTATCAACTCAGGCGTGGATCTTTGCATGAAGACACAATGGATAAAACTTAATCTAAGGAGAGCCCGTCTCTTAAAGCATTTAATGGCATTTGCGTTTTCATAGAAAAAAGGGCAAATCTGTCTGTGACAGTGCAGGTCTATCTATAGGGCAGTCCATTCTAGAAAACAGGACGGTATCATGTGATGTTTATGGGGAGAGGTTTAAAGACTTGGACTCAGTGAAACCTGACAGCATCCTTATAGTGTGCACACGGGGACGGTGTGTACACAGGGACAGCAAGCACACGGGGACAGTGTGACAGCATGCACACGAGGACAGAGTGCACATGAGGATAGTGCGATAGTGTGCACACAGGGACAGCACACACACGGGGACAGTGTGCATACAGGGACAGCGCGCACATGGGACAGTGCGCACATGGGGACAGCCTGCACACTGGGACAGCGTGTACATGGGGACAGTGTGACAGCGTGCACACGGGGACAGCATGTACACGGAAACAGTGTGCACACGGGGACAGCGCACAGTTATTCGCCATCTGGACAGTGAAGAGCACAGAGGCCTCAGGAGAGTGGGCCATCTGCCCAAGGTCACAGGCCACAGTACCAATGAGCAAGTTCTACAACGTGGGCCTCGAACTTCCTGGGATGAGCTCAGGGCCTCCACTGACCCTGAATAAAGGAAGCCATTTCTGCCATGAGCTGGTCCCCCAGCCAGAGTGTGCAGCTATTTTTAAATCCGAGAATGATCTGGGTCCAGGGGAGAGTATAAATATCCCACACCGAAGTCTCCGGGGACTGAAAATGCTGACTTAACTTCAGGGAAATTCTGCCATAGGCTCTTCTTTCCCTAAGTGGAATGCATTTATTGCTCTCTTTTCCTTATCACACATATATCTGTTTGAAAAGGATTCATATCACACAGAAAGGCACGGGCATTAAAAACTCCTGGAAAGGATGTCGAATAAGCAAATAATGTAACCTGGGAATGAAAAGCTCCTGTTTACCACAGCTGACACAGACGGACTGTGAATGAATGAACGAGTATCTGACTACATGAATAAATAACTAGCAAAAGAATTGAGAGTCAGATTTGGGAATGTAAAGACGTACTTTTGAAGCACATTTTCAAACAGAGAACAGATGATGGGGGGGTGGGGGGAGTAGAGCGGAAGCCTGTCTCCTCCCGACAAGGGGGGGTCCTCGATTCCCTCCCGAGAGAGGAGGTGACCCAGGTAATGAAACTCCTCCGCCTGCAGGGGTCTCTGGGCAGGGACGCTGTGAGACCTACAAGCTGAGCCCGCAGTGTGTGCTGCTGTCCATCTGAGAGGCTCATTTCTACCCAAAATGAGGAGTTTTAAACCCTTCTCCCAATCTCTGTCGGAGGAAAGGGCCTAATCACTCAGCCGCGTGTTTTCCAGGCGCTGGAATATATGGAGCCCAGGGAGGCACCAGCCTTTTGCCACGAACCCCCACCTCGGTCATCATGTTTCTACCAGGCCTCGCTCCCGGGGCCAGAAATACAAACGCTCCCCTCAGGGAGCCTGCTGACTTCCAGACCTGGTTGGAGATTCTGTTTTATATTGAAAATCTTTATAACAATTTAAATTTGATAATACATTTTTTTGTTGTTTTTTATCCTCACCCGAGGACATTTTTGCATTCATCTTTAGAGAGAGCGGGAGGGAGAGAGGGAGGAAGAGAGAGAGAGACATCGATGTGAGAGACACACATCGGCTGGCTGCCACCCACACGACCCAACCAGGGCCGGGGACAAACTGCAACCGAGGTACGTGCCCTTAGTGGGAACCGAACCCGGGTCTCTCTGGTCTGCGGGCCGACGCTCTAACCGCTGAGCCAAACCGGCCAGGGCAATACATTTGTTTTTAATGGCACATTAAAATATTCTGAAATTATTACCACTAATTAAAACAAACCATCCAGGAAGAGGTCCGGGGAGCCTCTGCCTTAAGCTCTCCGGACACGGCTGGTGCGTCCAGCGGTGGAAGCCAGCACGGCGACGTGAATCGGTCAGCACCTCAGTACCGCGCCCACGTCGTGCGATTTCAAGTACAGGCCCAGCTAGCAGAACAGTGTGCGCTGCGCTGCACGGCCGGTACTGCCCTTGTCCCCCTCGGAGACCTTCTTCAGATGTGACCTTCCTCAGGCAAAACGAACGGCCCTGGAGCACGACGACGCCCTTACCTGTGTCATCTCTCTAATGGAAGTTATGCTATCCAGTGCTTTCATTACGCGATCATAGTTCTTCTTCTGTGTGAATGCAAAAAAAAAAAAAGGAGTATTTTTGCAAGTCTGCACGTTACTGGAGAAACATATTATTATTTCCATACATTTCCCATCAGAAGGCATTTGACAGTGAGGACGGTGTTGGCACATAAAGGGGAGACTTTAATAAGATGGTTCCAGGATGCAGGAGTTGTCGCTGGATCGGGGAAGAAAGGGAGAACGAACGCCAGTCCTATGAAGCACAATCACGTGCAGCCTGCAGGGAGGAACTGTGAATACACAAGCATATGGGGCTCCCGATTCTGCCTTCACCTCTAAAAACGTAAGGCGCAATGAATGAAAAGTAAGCACAACATTCTTCTACAATTCAAAAACTCACTTGAAGTCTAACAATTTCATGCTGCTTTTATTTCCACTTGATGGGAAGACTGCTACCCAGAGAGGATGCCTGGCCGGCGTGTAAGACCACCGTGCACCCAACCACGATCCGTGCTGCAGCACGATGCAAATGTGCAATGTCTACCCTGTGCCACTTACGAGGACAGAAAGCTTTCCCAAGGAAATTGTACAGTCATTGTTTCCAGGAAATGCTTTCAAGATGAACAGTAACAGAAATCGAGGCAATTTTAGCTGTTGCGCAATTTGAAATTTTTGTTATTTCAGAGGGATTCTGCCTAACGTCCATTAATATTTAAGACAGTCTTTACTCAGGAAATGACAACTAACTGACAACATGAATTAAACTATCACCAACTTTCAGAAAACCAAGGGGGTGGGGGAGGGCAAGGGACGATGACTAAAAAATAACAGAAAAAGGGAAACTTGTCCTTTTTATACATGATTCTTTTTTGTTGTTGTTAATCCTCACCCGAGGATACTTTTCCATTGATTTTTTTTTTTTTTTAGAGAGAATGGTAGGCTGGGAGGGAGTTGGGGAGAGAGACAGAGAGAAACATCAATGTGAGAGAGAGGCATCGGATTGGTTGCCTCACACATACGTCCAGAATTGGGGGCGGGGATGAACTGCAACCCAGGTACGTGCACTTGACCAGTAATCAAACCTGAGCCCCTTTGGTGCACGGGCTGATGGTCTAACCATGGAGCCACACCGGCCAGAGCTCCACATAATTCCTGTAACTAGTTACATACGTCAGAATATGACATTAAAATAATCATATTGGCCATGATCATTATCAACCAATACTGTAGCTAGACACCCCCCTAGTGGCTGGGATGTGTGACGATCAGAACGCGAGCGGGATACACGGGTCCAGCGTCGTGAAGATGGAGGTCTGGGAATGACCGGGAGGATGGAAGGACAGCGAGTGAGGGGACAGTGGGCGACGGGAGGCAGAAGCACGTCCCGTGGGCAGGGAGAGTCCCAGCAGGGATCAGGGAACAACGGAAAGGGTGGGCGGAGCCATGGCATGCCCGCCCAGACAGCCAGACGGGAGGAGGAAGGCTGAGGTCCCGGCAGCTGCTGCTGAGGGAGCATGTGACCACGGGTGGGCGAGGACGGCCACTTACCCTGGGGTTGAAGGCCAGCATCTGTGGGTCGTTAGGGTCTACCACAGAAGGGTATGGCTCGAAAATGACGACTTTTCTAGGAGATTCCAACGCAGACCTGCACATGGATACCAGGAGGTCCACCACCTTGAAACACACAGAAGACAGTCACTGCCCTTCCAGTTCCCACCAAGTGTCTGGCCACCGCTTCCCCCTCTCGTGGTGACGAGATCAAGTTCGGGGTTGTGCTCAACCTCTCGCTCTGTCCTTTGTGACTGTGGACCACATGGGACCAAACTGGACCAAGAACTGGGAGGATCCGCACGTCTCCCAACCACTCACGTGCTCTTGCCGTGAACACGTATTACATGCTGAGTGGCCCGAGGGTCCCAGACAAGGCGATGGACAGGAGGAGCAGGTCCCTGCCCCACAGAACTGACATTCCAGTGAAATCGGTGCGCGGTGAAAATCCGAGACACAAATCAACGCTCAGATACAGTCCCTGGTGGTTAAATGCTACAAAAATACAGCAGGCGTCGCGGCTGACCGCAGCGACAGGGACAGCTCGCAGACGTTAATTCTTCCGTGGAGTGAGATGCCCACTTTAAATAACTGAAGACGACACGGCTGTGATCTGTGTAACCCCGAGTCGTGTGCTTCCTCACGCCCGCATTTAAACGCGGAGACTCCGAGAAGGACCTTGGCCACAGGGAAGTGCTGTGACCAGTTACAGACGGCCGTGTCCGGGCTGAGCAGAGAACCGTCGAGGTGACCTGGAGGCTGGCTGAGACACTTCGCATAGAAACGCCAAGGAATATTAAATTCAAGGATGGGGGTCACAACAGGGGACGTGAGTGACGATAAAAGGTCTGTGAGTTTATAGAACCACGTGTCTCTGGAGGGCACTGCGTGTGATCCAACTGGCAGAGCGGGGACCCCTCACCCACCCTCCCACCTCCACACAGACACGCAGGTATGAGCGGCCTCAGAGCTCCCGCCCAGGAGACCCTCAAGTCCAGGCTGGGAGGAAGGGCCCAGGCAGGAGCGTACAGAGACACCGTGTGTTCTGCAAAGAGAGGAACAGTTTGGAGACCAGGGGCCTTCAGACATTTCAGCTGTGACTCCGTTTCTTTTTCCAAAGAAAATCTTGTCTGAGAGCCTGCTCTAGCAAGAAGTGCGTGGCTGAGGTGGTTCCGGCTGAGGCGGTGCTCAGGACCCCCAGCTCGGCCCTGCCCAGCCCCCGAGGCACTCGGGACCCCACATGGAGAGGAGTCCGCAGCCGCGGGGCACGAGTCCTTTCTGCCCCGCAAAGCAGGCGGCTACCCTCCGAACACCGTGATGCCCCTGCAGGCAGTGAGAAGGAGATTTCATTTGGAGGAGAAACACTCAGTCTCGGAGGTCCGGGTACTGAAGCGGAGCTGAATCCCTATGCTGATCTGATGGAGCCTTGGACTCTGTACGATCATTATATGCCCCCGAATTAATTTCTCCTAGAGAACCAGTATTTTTAGAGACGTATCTTTAACAACAGGGCGGAAAGCACCTATTATTCTGTCATATTCTATCAACTTAGCCTACGTTAGCACGATGTGACTTTTCCTTCCAACCCATCACTTCTTACTTCTAGGCTTTAACTTTTTCCCTTGTCAAATGTTCGAGGAACAGTTTACACCCAGGGAAATGCACAAATGTTAACTCTGCTACCTGAAGAATTGCTACACTTATAAAAGGTAAATATACATGTATGTGTATTCACACACACACATCTGTGTCAAGTGTAATTGTTTTCACATAGCTAGAAATAGCACACATTAAAGTGGTGGGTTTGGTTTTTTGAACAATATTAGTTCCAAGGGATGAGAAAAACATTCACATTAAAAACAATAAAAGGGCCCGGCTGGTGTGGCTCAGTGGTTGAGCATCGACCCAGGCACCAAGAGGTCTCGGGTTCGATTCCCAGTCAGGGCACATGCCCAGGTTGTGGGCCCAATCCCCAGTGGGGGCATGCAGGAGGCGGCCAGTCGATGTTCTCTCTCATCGATGTTTCTCTCTCTCTCTCCCTCTCCTTTCCTCTTTCTAAAATCACTAAAGAAAAAAAAAAGAAAAAAAAAAGAAAAGCAAAAGACCCGCCCTGGTCAGACACTCTGAGAAACCCTCTAAGGACAGACCAGTCATGTCCTCTGTCTTAGGGACTCGGTACCTCAATGTGCACGTGTTGGGAGTAACACAATGCCAAGTTTTATGTTCGGAATTTATTTTAGTCATTGAGTTATTTTCCCACATCGCATAGGTTCAATGGTCTGTTTGAACTATTTTTCATTTATAACTCATTCTGCCACCAATATTGTCCTTAATGTTTCACGATATTAGTTCAGGTCATCAGTGGGACAGCGAGGTTAGGGGGCTGGGTGTAGGTCGTGCCCAGGTTATCTGTGCGGTCTGTGTGCCTTGCCCGGGGGGGGGGGCACCTGTGTGTTCCCCAGCAGGCCTGTGACCCCTGTGGAAAGAATGACCTTATGTCTGTTGCATGATCATTTCCCCCACCCGTCTTTGTGAATTTTATGGATGAGAGAGTGATAGGATTTTTAGTGACAATTTTCTCATGTCTCTTCACTAACTGTAGGTCCAGATCTGTGACTCACGCATTCATTCCATCTATTCATGTGTCGGGATATCTTCACGTTTTTCTCAGATTTTGTGGCTTTCATATAAGTACGTCTGCGGCAAGATAAACTGTTTCTCATTTAGCTCAAAAATGAACGGTCTCTTCAAGTAAAAAGAGAAGGTATGTACCGATGGCCCCGGCTACCCTCTTCCTGTAGGGTGCACGACTGCACCCACACACCCGACCCTGCCCAGGCCCCATGCACCTCCTCTGGTTGGCACGGGGCACTTTTAATCAAGACAAGTCAAGCCATCTGGAGTGTTTTTCCACACAGTCCCAATAAAGAGCTCAACTGATTCACCCACTTCAGGTCATCTCCTCCCATCACTTCCCAAATCACTTTTATTTTACCACTGGATGTGGTACCTCCTTCAACAAATAGGAAGTATTTCCGTCACTTGATGTATCTTGCGGATACTCTGCCATTCTATTCTTGCCACTACTGTATTTTGCAAGAATATTATAGGATTGTATTGTATGTTTTTGTATATGGATGGCCTAGCCTCCCTTAACTAACTTTGTTTTTCTTAGTTTTCTCTGACTTTTTCCTTCTAGATTTATTAGTGATTTAGTTATGCTCCATAAATGAAAAAAAAAGAAAAGAAACCAACTGAAATTTGGATGGGACTGCACACATCTAGGCACCTTTCTAATTCATTCTTTCCTTCCCAGAAATATGGACTGCTCCTCCACCTCTAGACTTTTATTTATTTTCATAGTCTCCTTTTTCCGTCCTAAACACTGCTGCTGTACAACTGAATGCTCTTTTCACGACATGCTCTCCGATTATCTTTTCATCTAAGTTTTAAAAATAAATCCACTTCCATTTTATGGCCCTTCGACATCTCAAGTTCACCGGGTGGAAAGGAACCACAACCACTGTCCACCCAGTAGGAAGCTGGTCGAATTCCTACCCTTGGCCACCGCAAAATGATGAGACAGAGACAGCAAAGTGTAGTTTATAACTGGAATACATCAAATGCCAGTTTGCTTTAACAATCAACTATCGAACATTTGCCCCAAAGAGCAGAGTGCAGAGATCTAGGGAATCAGAATAAAATTTTCAAGTCAAAATAAGGAATGATGGGCACCCCGAGTCTGTACCTGCGCCCCGGTGGCTATCTCGTCGGCTGCCTCGTTCATCACCCCCAGGGTCTGGAAGGCAAACACGCACAGCTCACGCTCACACACCGTGGGCTACAAAAGAAGGAGGAGTCAATGACCACCTTTTAGTCCATCTCCCAATTCCTCAGTTACATGTATGACGTTACATTTAACGAAGGGAAAACGCAAAGTGTTAGAATGTTCAAAAGAAAGGAATCCTATCAATTTTCCTAATTACAATTTCTGCAGTGAGGAGGTCACAATTGGTAAATAACCATTTATTGCTATAAAGTCACAAATGTGATTAAGAAATCCATTTCCGTTCGTTGCAGGCACTTTGACTAGGAATGATTTGGCAATAGATAAAAATAACCTTACACTAGAAAATCCATCTCCCCTGCTTAATATACATTTGCACCCGAGATGTGTGTGTGTGTGTGGGGGGGGATGTGTGTGTGTATGTAAAGCTGATACCTAAGCTGTTGAGATACTAAAAAAATAAGGTGAAACCCAAATCTGTGTAAAACAAACAAAGGAGAATTCCTCCTTTTCCTAAGTCATTTTCTTTGGAAGAGAGAAGCATGACTCTGCTCCCTCGCTACCCAGCTCTTGAAAGATTGGTTCTGCCGCAAAGATTTTTGACTTCAATAACCTCCCGAAGTCAGAGCACTGAAATATACACTGCCGCTGCTTCGGAAGAGCTCTCATCTTTTAAATCTGATACAGTGTCATCTGTTTGATTGATCTCGTCTCCCGGGTTACATTGCATTAGGCAGCTGATGAAGCCGAACACGGCGCTGCTGCACAGCAGAGGAGAAGCATTTGTTAGCCCCGCTGTCCCTGTTGCTCACTGCAGAGGACAGCTGGTCTACCGCCTAGCCGCTGGGGAGGTACGCCCCATTCGGGACATCCTTTACGTTCACATTGGGCTCCTCGGGTGGCTTGGCGGACATAAAACATGACCAATCACAAGGGTTTCTGGCTGACATTCCCCTAAGAGCATGTTAGAAAAAACAAAAATTGATAGATTTCCTTTGTCAGCCTTAAGTATACAGTTTGATTCCATTTTAGAAATATCAGGAAAAGCTACCTTTGGGAGGAAATTAATTGGAGAAAGTTCTTCATCCAGACCCAAGCAATACACACCATTCTGAATATATTTGGATATGCTTAGAGCAGACTGTGCAACTTCTATTTCTTTTTTTTGAGTGTTTAACCCATTCTTAATCTTCTATTTGTGTGTGTGTGTGTGTGTGTGATCTAAGTGCTATGTGTTTAACCCTCAATTTCCCCCACTAACAGTGGGTGGTTTTTTTTTTTGGTTTTTTTTTTTTTAATGTTCTTAAAACATGGTATAGTCTAAAACAATAATAGTAATTATTTGTGGTACATTATGGTGTCAAACACTAATATTGGTGTTTGAGTCTAGTGAAACTGTATATAAACAAGAGTCCAGGGAGAAAGCGAATCTTGCAAATAATTAAGGGCCCTGGGAATTAACCCACATACCAGTTACCCAGAGCTCACGAAGACATACAGGCACAGAGGTGCTGTTTTTAATACCCCTGCCAAGTAACCTACACTTTTTCTGGCTACAACCCATCAATCCCTAAACCTCACTGAGTGTATCTGAGTAATGACCGGTTTTTATTTTTTATTTCAGCTTTGGACAATCAATTACACTTACTCTGTGATTGTTCAAACAGGCATGTCTGTAGTGTGTTCCCCATGCACATCCTAGGACCATGACAACAGAAACTACCGTTTCAGTACCAGTGTGTTGCCTTAAATTTAAAACAATGAAAATGAAATAAAATAACTCGCTACCCTATATTGGAAGGTAATTTTTACAAATCGGTGAACTCTGAGATCAACACTTGCAAACTAGTTTTTGTAGGCGACTGACCCTCCCCCTCATGTTTATCCCCATTCTGAGAAGTGCAAATGTGAACACAAGAGGACACCCTGAAAGCAAGCTCTCAAATCACATCAGCGATCAAGGTAAGACGTGTCTCGTCATTCACACAGGACGTGCTTTTGGAGGAGGACCTGAATCAGTCCTTCCTAATGAGTGGACTGGGGACCTGCACTCTGATTCCTCCAGCCGACTCCCAGCCAGTGCCCGCCCCCCACAAACCCTGCTATCCCACTATTACTCACACAGAGGATTCCAGCATCAGCTCAAAACGGGACACGGTCATCTCACTGCTATTACTGGATACATGAAATGCTGTGTGTTACTACACATACTTTACTACAAAGCATGTGTACCTAAATATAACTAAATGTGTACAATATTTACAACATTTCTTATTTTAGAATAGTTTTAACTTGCAAAATATTACCTACTCTTTTTTTTAAAATATTGTATTTATTGAATCGAGAGGGGTTAGAGTGGGGAGAGAGACACACACATGGAAGCATCGACTTATCGTTCTACTTACTGATACTTTCACTGGCTGATGCTTTTACGTGCTCTGACCTGGGATCAAACCCTCAAACCTTGGCTTATCAGGACAACACTCTAACCAAGGAGCAGCCAGCCAGGGCTTAATGTTAGCTATTCTTTCTTTTGTAATCCTCACCCAAGGAAATGTTTCCATTTATCTTCACACAGAGTGGGAGGGAGGGAGAGAAACATCAACATGAGAGACATATCAATTGGTTGCCTCGCACACGACCCCGACCAGGGCCAGGGACCGAACTGCAACCGAGGTACATGCCTTTGACCAGAATCGAACCTTCGACTCTTTGGTCCAAGGGCCAACGCTCCAACCACTGAACCAAGCCAGCCGGGGCTAATGTTACCTAGCCTTAATGTCATATAATTATTTTGCCTTTGAGCAGCAAGGTCCTATAATTTATACTGTAAAACCACAGTAAGTCTCTCTTGCCACTACACATCACATCCGAATTTAATATTCATCATGCATCATTTAAAAACATCGGGAACTTCATCTGTCCCTAAGACGTTTTTAAGCTGCAATGAATACATTTTTAAATTTCTTTCAATAAAATCAACTTAAATGTGATCAGTAAAACATTATTTCAAACAATGGTTCTAACCCTTAAAGAATATCTGAGAACCTAACTGCACTTGAGAAACTTTGTATCTTCCAAGAATTCAAATCACTTCCTAATGAAAACAGAAAACAGCAACCACACAACGGAAGAGACTCTAGCTAGGAATTTATATGCGCAGCACAGTGTAGGTGACAGTTTCGATCCTTTCTGCCTGTCTATTTGTTCAAACAAAGTATTTTACGCAAACCCAATAAATAAAACAGACAGAAGTGCACACCATTCCAGTAGGCACACGTGGGCACGGTTTGGCCTTCCTGGCCGTGACACAGGAGAAAGACCACATCTAGCTCACCAGGCCAACGTGAGGACCAAGCGGGAAAGACAATAGGACGAGGTGAGGTTTATAAAATCTCCTGGAGGCAAACGCTGTTTAAATATTACAAAATCAAGTAACCTAGATTAGCTGTCTCTTCTTGTTTCACCCAGGGTATACACAGAAATAAGTGCTTAATAAAAATCTGTGCAGAAGCTATTATAAAGTAATGGTTTTTTATTTTCATGTTCAGTTTGTCAGAATTCTTAATTCATCACTAAAATCGTTCTTGCTAAGAAACTAGAAACACAAAACCTACAAGCCTTGAATTCTCTGTATTTCCGGTTTTATAATCAGTGCTGTGGGTTCTTCTCATGTTTTGGGGGAGGGACACAGATTTCCCGAGCATGGAGAAGACAGGAACGCCTCAGAGACCAAGACCTGCACCAAGAGGTCGCCGGTTCGATTCCCGGTCAGGGCACATGCCCAGGTTGTGGGCCCGATCCCTAGTGGGGGGCATGCAGGAGGCGGCCAATTGATGTTCTCTCTCATCGATGTTTCTATCTCTCTCACCCTCTCAGTTCTTCTGTCTCTAAAATCAGTAAAGGAAAAAAAAAGAAAAAAAAAAAAAACAATTTCTACTCAATTTAGATGCTAAAAAAAAATACTATTTTTTGTTTTTTGGTCTGTGCCCCTAGCAGGAACCGAACCTGGGACTCTCTGGTCGGCAGGTTGAACCTCCAACCACTGAGCCAAACCGGCCAGGGCAACACACACATTTTTAAACTGAAAGCTTCTTGGCGTCATTTTTACTTAGTTTGGCCTGTATCTCAGACCTTGAAATCTTAACTTCTGGGAAGGGGAAACAGGGAGGGAGCAGGAGGTGCTTTTCCATCCTTTCTTTAAATACTGAAGTCAGACCCGAACACAGGAAGACTGGGCTATTTTCCTCCAGGAAGGACAAAGGGCCGTACCCAGCTTCACCCTCATGTCCAATGTCTACAAGAGTTTTCATGGGAACGCCTTAAACTATGATGAATTATAACGGGGTATTGTGCACTTTGCCCTGATATTAGGGACCTTAGTGATGGGTATTTGTCGAAGGAACACGGTCAGGTTGGAGAGACAAAAACAGAGACTCTCCGGTCTCTCAGATGACTTTGCTTTCCTAGCAGTGGGCGTTATTCTCAGATGGTGAGAACGGACCCCTGGGACTGACCGATCCACTCGGAGCAAGTGATCGGGACACTTGCACATGGCCCGAGGAGTGGACGAGGTCACCGTTCTGACAGCCTGTGTTGATGTGAGTTAAGGGGAAAGTCTGTTAACCAGCGACACAGAGAAAGATCACCAATTATCAATGTTTGGTTTGGTTTTCTGATTAAGATCCAAACCCTGCTGCCAAGCTGGGAAGTGGGGCATCCCTGAGCAGCCTGCCGGTGCCAGCGTGAGGGCACGCACGTCGGCAGGTTACATGCCAGGACTCACCTGGGAGGAATAGTTATTAACTTTGGAACAAAGGAGAAAACTGGAGCATTCAGGTATTTCTAAATAAGCTGTCTAGTTCCCCACTAGCAGAAACTGAGACATGCTTGCCCAGACCTGAGCAAAGGGCAGAATAGTACATGTACGTCAAAATTTAGGGATTTGGGAAAATAGGGGACATCCCATAATAAAAACAAGCTTGGGGAAAAAATACAAGGAACAGAGATAATTTTGAAATAAAATTATATAAAAATGTAATAACATTAGACACAGAATTCTATAAAGCGCCAAGAATTTTATCCAGCTTGTTCAATCACCGACTGGGTTATCATTTATTCTCTTTGTGTCTCTGGGATTTATTAGTTTGTACCAAGGGCTAAATAAAAGGTCAGCGAGTCAGCTTGTTAATACTCCATGATATATTATATTTCTAATTTTTATACATTTCTATTAAAATTACAGGAAAGCACATTGCAATATATACAAGAATGAGACATAAAAATGAATAAGCCCGATTTAGGTAAACTTTCTAATGGAATCAAAGGGCAATTCTCTTCTGTTTACCTCTGTGCCCTTAAATATGAAATGTTTCTTTGATTTCCATTTCCCGATCTGACGTCAGGTCAGTTACTATCTAAGAAACCAAAGTAATGTGTCTGATTTCCTCAGATATTAGTCTGAATTACAGAAACATAACACCAAGTGATAACTAATGTATTTGTTTAGAAAATGTCGTTTTCTCTCTTGCTGACAAAAGCATGCCAAAGCCCGAAGAGAGTGGAAACTGGTACAGAGGGCTACAAAGCAAAACACAATCTGAAGTAAGGCACCAAGAACACTGACAGCAGCTACGAGGTTTCTGTCATTTGATACAGGGGTGAACCGCCAGGCGTCCAATCACCGAGGGAGCCGCCTGCAACGAATGGCACGTGCAGTAACTGCAGGATGTGGGAGTCGGACAAGCACAGAAGCCAAGGGGCCACAACCACCAAGAGCCATGACCACCAAGAGCCGCCATGACCACCAAGAGCCGCCACGATGACCAAGAGCCACCACGACGACCAAGAGCCACCACGACGACCAAGAGCCTCCACGACAACCAAGAGCCTCCATGATAACCAAGAGCCACCACGACCAAGAGCCGCCACGACACCCAAGAGCCACGACCAAGAGCCGCCACGATGACCAAGAGCCACTACGACCAAGAGCCGCCACAATGACCAAGAGCCACGACCAGGAGCCACCACGACAACCAAGAGCCACAACCAAGAGCCGCCACGATGACCAAGAGCCGCTACAACCAAGAGCTGCCACGATGACCAAGAGCCACGACCAAGAGCTGCCACAATGACCAAGAGCCACTACGACCAAGAGCCACCACAATGACCAAGAGCCACGACCAAGAGCCGCCACGACACCCAAGAGCCACGACCAAGAGCTGCCACGATGACCAAGAGCCGCCACAATGACCAAGAGCCACGACCAAGAGCTACCACGATGACCAAGAGCCGCTACAACCAAGAGCCGCTACGACCAAGAGCCACTACGACGACCAAGAGCCACGACCAAGAGCCACAATCAAGAGCCGCCACGACCAAGAGCTACCACAATGACCAAGAGCCACGACCAAGAGGAGCCACAACCAAGAGCCACCACGATGACCAAGAGCCACGACCAAGAGCCGCCACGATGACTAAGAACTGCCACAACTAAGAACCGTGGCCTCGCCCTGGCTGGTTTGGCTCAGCGGTCAGAGCATCAGCCGTGGACCAGGGAGGCCCGGGTTTGGTGCCCGCTGAGGGCACGTACCTCGGTTGCAGTTTGTCCCCGGCTCTGGGTGGGGTCTTGCGTTCGTGTGGGTGGCAGCCACTTGATGTGTCTCTCTCACATCAATGTTTCTGTCTCTCTTTTCCTCCCTTTCACTCTATCGGATGATAAATGCAAAAAACAGGTCCTCGGGTGAGAATTAAAAAAAACACACAAAGAACCGTGGTTCGGTGCCATTCTGCCCGCGTTCAAATCCTGTCTCTGTCACTAAGCAGCAATGTGACCTTTTCCTCATCTGTGAGGCAGAGGTAACACCACAACACACCTCATCGCGTACTGCGCGGGTTAGATCAGGTGATTCCTGTGAAGCACTTTGAACGTATGGTCACACGGAGCACATGCCTTTCCTACTGACACCACCATCAGTCCCTGCGGTGGGACGGCTCTGCCCGGGCTCCGCTCCCTGGACGAAGACCGACAGGTGGGGACGGACTACCTGCAGCGCCCCCGAGGAGCCTGTGGAGATGATCCACGGGTTCTCGCTGCTCACGGCAACGTGCACCCCCGTGATCGCGTACAAACAGCTCGCGTAAGCAAATGTGTAATAAATGCTGATTTAGTTAAATTGGGGGTTTAGAATAACAATGTATCTCTTTGAGAGAAACGCTGATCAGCAAAATATAGTATATGGGTGACAAGAAAAAAATGTTTCTGAATGCCCTGCTGGTTTGGCTCAGAGGTTAGAGCCTTGGTTCTCAGACCAGAGGGCCGAGGGTTCAGTTCCACTCAAGGCCGTGCACCTCAGTTGCTATTCGATCAGGGCGTGGGAGGCAGCCCACTGATGTGTCTCTCTCACATCCATGTTGGTTTTTTTCTCTCCCTCTCTTTCCCTCCCACTCTATCTGAAAATCAATGGAAAAACATCCCTGGGTAATGATTATATATATATATATATATATATATATATATATATATATATATATATATATCTCCCATAAACAAATAAAATGAAACAACTATAATAGATCATTATGTTCATAAATGGTTCTTACATAGGTTTTTTAAAGTATAAATCTTTAAATACAATGACTTAAATGTAAGATATAAACTGTACAACTATTAGGATAAATGCAGGTGTACATCTTTGTGACCCTGAATTAGCCAACAGTTCAACTAATAAATCTGGACTCCATTAAAATGAAGAACTGTGTGTCTCAGGAACACACAAGAGAAGACACAAGTGTCACATTATAAAGCTGTACACCTAAAATGTACATGTCAGTAATCAATGTTACCACAATAAATGTAATAAAATATTTTCAAAGCAAACCTAGTACACCTGAAACTCAGATGAAATAATATTGAATGTCAACTGTAATTGAAAACAAAAACAAAAACACAAACACAAAAAAGGAGAACATTTTTCCAAATCAAATACCTAATAAGGATATGCTATTCAGAATATAAAAAGAACTCTTAACTCAACAACAAAGAGTTAAAAAATAGGCAAAGAATTTGAACAGACATTTCCCCAGAGGAGATCTACAAAAGGCCAATACCCACATGAGAAGATGCTCAAAATCCTTAGTCATTAGGGAAGCAAGTCAAAATCACAGGGAGATACAATTTTACACTGTGATGGCTCTAATACAAGAAAAAAAAAAGACAGTAAAAAATGTTGGTGAAGATGTGGAGAAATTGGAACCATCCCATATAAAATGGTCAAAAAGTTTAGTTGTTCCTCAGAAAGTTCAACAGCATTAACACATGAGCCAGTAATATCCATTAACCGGTGATGGATAAACAAATGCGGTACATTATCCCACCCTAGAAAGGAATAAAGTTCAGACGCGTGCTACATGGATGAACTTGGAAAACATTAAACGAAGTCAGAGAAGCCCAAAACAAAAGGCCAAATGATGCATGGTTCCAGTTACATGGAAGTGTCCGGAACAGGTGGACTCATGGGGATGGAGCATCGATCAGTGGTTGGCAGGGAAGGGGGGGAGGGAAAACTGGGAGGGACCGCTGACAGTTACAGAGGTTCTTTCCCGGGTGACGGAAAGGTAGTAGACAGTGGTAATGGTGGTACAACATTGTGAATGTGCTAAAAACCAGTGAACTGTACACATTAAACTGTACACTGAGTTATATGTTATATAAATTTTATCTCAATAAGACAATTGTAAAACAAAGCTTGAAATTGGATAGTTCTCCCCAAAATGCACATCGATTCTTGGTTCTATGCTCTTTCATTTATGCCCCGACTGTGTCAGTGATTGGCATTTTCTGAAATTTTATTCTGATTTCCTGCATGTTATTCCATATCTCTAACTAGCATAAAGACTACCCTCTCCTCTCTATATTAAGCATCATAGATATACATATATATAATTGAAAACATATATATATATTTATATCTATCTCCATATCCATGTCCATTGTATGACACAGATGATCTATGACAGACACACAGAGAAACGGGTGGAAACAGAGAGAACAGGCACATACATGTGGAAGATACAATGAGAAATACTTTCCTAACATAACATCACTTGCTCTTGCATGGATTCCTTCAGAAACAGTGATTTGTTGGTCAAAATTTTACCACTTTGTGTAGTAAATAATTTGTTCAGCAAAGAGTAGTATTTACTGTAAATGCAGTCATTTGCTTATTGATCTGTAGATCCTAGCCCAATGCACCTAGATTCTAAATCAACACTGACATCCTCCCAACGAGAACTGACCCTGAGCATGGGGCCATTCTGAAACACGTGTCTCTCGTCACAAACCACACAGTACTCATTCAACACGGGGATCCGCTGCTCAGCAAACTCAATTGTCTGAATGAAACAACAAAGAGAAACAATTAGGTCACATTCACAAATGAGTTGAAAACCCGCTTAAAGCTAAAACATTCCGGCGGCGTTGGGGTCTTCGCTCCTACCTGCACCAGGAAGCCTCGGTCTCGGATTGGAATGCACTTGGCGCCATTTGGCTATAAAAGCAAAGTGAAAGAACAAAATAATTTTTCAAATGGGGAAGTATGCAAATTGTAGCCTTTGACTTGGTGCACCCATGACTGAATATGGATGCGCTCTTTCTAAGATCACCTGTAACATGAATGGAGTCCCTGGTATGACACGGAGACTGTGGAGGTCCTGTATTACCATGGACTTTCCGTCATTACTACTACAAACCTTTGTCTAAACGAAATAAAGCTTCTTTTTTTCTGACCTTCTGGTAAAACTTTCTAAAACTCCATTACTTACTTCCTCCATGACTCGGTGTCAAATGCTCCTATCTCCTCATTTAGAGTATTTCAATCTTATTTTACAATAAGATAGAACTATTCCTCCAAAGACATATAAGGCAGGCACTGAAAAGAATACACCACTAAATTATTTTATCAACTTCAGCTTAACCATACAGAAGGACGTTGGGATATTCTGTTTCACAGAGTATCTGACACTCTCTTCTTTAGATGTAATAAACATGCAAAACTTTCTACTATGTAACACTTCAACATCATTTTTCTGTATGTCCTCATACTTGGATTTGGTAAGAAATGAGTCTGAAGGGATGTCTACATAGAATTATCAATATATTCCAATACATTTTCTTAACACAAATATAATCTTAAGGTCAAATTTTCAAATTCACTTGAGAAATAAATCTATACGAGAAACACAACTTTCTAAAAAACAGTATCTTTTCTTTTTGCAATCTCATCTATTGCGAGGTGTGTCCATATTAGTAGTTAAGAGCTAAATAAGGATTTCCCCACACAGACATGCACACACATACTTACCAAAAGCAAACAAAACCCTGTATCAACTATTTTATGTAAATTGTGTACATAAGATAGGTCTGTTTCTTTATCTGAAACTGACTAGTGCAGATCACTAGAGGTAAATTTTGCTAAGACTGACTCTTCAGTAAATACTGCCCCAAGTACCGGAGTTTTAACACATTCACCTCCCAGCCTCTCTCCACCAAGAAAAACAGCTTCAGGATAAAGTCACTTGGGGTCTACAGACACCAAGAGCCACCAATGTTGCTTCTCTCTGCAGGTAATGATGTTCATGGCCAGGTTTGGCTCTTAAGTATAACAGAAAGGACATCACTCTTAAGGTACTTATTAGACAAACCTCATCCTCCACTACTTGGAAGAGAAAACCAGAGAGCAGATAAACCTACTTATTAAAACATGCACATTTTAGCTCGCTTCAAAAGAAAGGCTCTGTGAATCCAGGGCCCATCATTCCATGCTCGGCAGCATCTGTTACCCTTTGCACTGGACTGCAGATCAGGAGCTGCATTTATTCTTTTCGGAATCAAAATGAACGTTCCAGCAAACATCTGCTAGGCAACCTAGTATCTACACAAACCGGGAGGTTTAAAGAAACAAACACCTGGCTCCTTTCCTCTACTCAGCTCTAGCCCCTCTGCTACCGCGGGGGGAACTGCAGGAGAGAGCTACGCACGGCAGGCTGGGCGGATGCTGACGAAGGCGCTAAGATACCGATGAGCCCTGAGGTGAGAGAGAGCCTCCTGCCCTCGGCGCTGGGCTCCTGGAGGAGCTCGGGTCGGCACGACTTGGGGGCGCCGGCCGCAGCCTTGCTGAGCAGCTTGTGGCTCTTCAGTCCGTAGAACTCCTCCACCCGGAGGCTGCTGGAGTAGGACCTGCTCAGCAGTTTGTGGGGCTTCAGGCCGGCGTTGTGCTCGCAGCGGGGATCCCCGGAACAGGACCGAGTCAAGAGCTTGTGCGGCTTGAGGGGGCCGCAGTCCTCCTGCTTGATGGCCGCGGGGCAGGGCCGGGCCAAGAGTTTGTGGGACTTAATGGTGGCCACCGCCTGCTCGGCCCTGGGGTCGCTGGACAGGGAGCGGCCGAAGGCCCTGTGGGACTTGGGGGCGCACACGTCCTCGGCCTTGACGGTGCTGGAGCAAGTCCTTCTCAGCAGCTTGTGCGTCTTGGAGATGCCGTCCTGCTCGGGTTTCAGCTTGGACTTGCTCTTGCCGCAGCCGGGGGGAGGGTAGCTCGGCGACCTTCAAAAGGGAACGAGGATTAGGACGCGGCCGGCAGGGCAGCAAAGGCCCGGAGGACGCGCGCCGGCCGTGCGCTCAGGACCATGTGCTCCCCACACGGCCTACCAGCGACAACGGGAATCAAGACAGTGCGGAAGGACCTCGGGAACTGACTCGCATTTTCCCTGAAAAGCAGGAAAAGGTTATCAGGATCTCCCCCCTCCCGCTCATCCCGAGTCCGACAGGACCTAATTTAGGTAGAGAAAACTCGGTGATTAGAAAGCAAAGAATGCACCCAGCCAGCGTGGCTCAGTGGCTGAGCAGCGACCCTGCACCGAGAGGTCGCTGGTTCGATTCCCGGTCAGGGCACATGCCCAGGTTGTGGGCCGGATCCCCAGTGGGGGGCGTGCAGGAGGCGGCCAATGGATGTTCTCTCTCATCGATGTTTCTCTCTCTCCCTCCCTCTCCCTTTCTCTGTCTCTTAGATCAATACAGGAAGAAAAATTTAAAAAGAAAGAAAGCAAAGAATGCAATTTCAGTAAATCTAAGAAAACCGAAACTCGAACACGTCTCTGTTCTGAGGACGTGCGTGGACCCTGAGCTGTGGGGGGAGGCAGACGGAACGCAGCCGCCAGGAGCGGGAAGGATGCTCCGCCCCGAGCCCCTGACACGGAAGCGCACGCAGCCCCGCAGCCCGGGGCCAGGCTGCCTGGTACCCACCTGCGCAAGGTAGAGAACAAATGCAGGGGGGACTTCACCTTCTTCTCCGACAGCTTCTTGCCGTAGAGGCAGCCGGGTTTCTCTCTGCTCTGCTTCCACTGCTGCGTGACGAATGTCTGCATGATTCTGTCAACCCAGAGCGAGTCGGTTACCGCGGCCCGAGGCCGTGCAGGGCGAGCGTCTGGTGTTTATTACGTGGAGGACGCAACTGTCCGCAGGAAACAAAGGCCCGGGGATGAGGGAGATGCTACTTGAGAACCACACGAGATGCTCTCGTATGCAGGAAGGCACCGTGCCGAACACTGTTAGGACTTTACGAATTATTAATAAATTGCTGTGCTATAATTAAAAATGTAAATCACAGAAGAACTGATCAAAGAAGGAGGATAGAGAGAGACTTAAAAAGATTATAAAGCAACACGCCCTGGCCGGTTTGGCTCAGCGGTTAGAGCGTCTGCCTGCAGTCCAGAGAGACCCGGGTTCGGTTCCCAATAAGGGCATGTACCTCCGTTGCAGTTTGTCCCCGGCCCTGGATGGTCGTGTGGGTGGCAGCCACTCTATGTGTCCCTTTCACGTCGATGTTTCTCTCTCTCTCTCTTCCTCTCTCTCTCTCCCACTCTATCTGTACAAAAATTGGAAAAATGTCCTCGGATGAGGATAAAATAAATAAATAAATAAATAAAAAAGATGATAAAGCGACAGCCTTTAGGATCAATGGCATTGGTGGAAGTGGCCGAAAAAAAAATCTGAATTATTTTGTTGGTGTCAGGAACGTAGCTTAAAACATTTTTTGTTGTTGTTAATAATTATAACTTTATTTATTAAGATACCAGCAACGCCAACTTCTTTTTACTTGGTTTGCTTATGTGCTTTTCTTCATGGGAAGTAAGACAAGAGAAAATGTCTGATCCCAAGGACACTAAGCCGTGTGAGAAGGCCCCATGGAGAAATCTGAAATCAGCACAGTCAGTCTCATTTCACTGTACATATGATTTTTTAAACCTTTAGCTATTAGCATAAAGCAGGGATTTGGCAACGCCTGACCTCAGCGTGCTCAGTCAGGCTCACTCCGCGCTGTTTCGTGGCACGAGCCCTGGCCCGTGGCCGGAGGGCTGGGACCGCGCGGCCTGAGAAGGGGCCCACGCGGCAGGACCCTCGTGTCCCGCCTTTCGGTGGCAGTGGACCCTTCGTCTGACACTGAGGCAGACGGGAGCTGTGCCAGTTGAGAAGTAGGAGTGAGATAAAGGAAATGTCCTGACTGCCTTCCTTCTTCTGCACGTTCTTTTCGGTGATTTGCAACAGATTGCTTCTGTTACAACAGAACAATGGCCCACTATTCGCTCAGAATTTACAATGTATCGGGAAAGTAAAATATGAACCTCCAATGCAGATTTTTTTTCTCTTTAATTCTCAGGACACCTGCAGGAAGTAGCTATGTGCGTGGTGACAAACAGGAGAGGAAAGCAAGTCTGCCCGAGTCAGCCAGGGGAATGAAACGGCAGAGCGGCCGGACCCGCATTATCCAATACGATGGGCACACGGGAACGTCTGTTCAGAGAGACAGGTGTGGCCCTTGGCACTGAGCCAACATGGGTGTCTCCATGTCCTTCAGGTCTTACTGAACCAACTCAGGTCACCGGAAAGCTCAGCACCGAGCCCACTCCCCCCACCTCCGTCTGCCCGTGAGGTCAGCGAGGAGGCCACATGCGAAATGACGGGGTCTGTTCAGCTGTCGAGGAGGTGAGGAGGTGAGGAGGGAGAAGGCATGGACCTGTGATCGAGTGAGCACAGTTCCAATTTGCAGTAAATCCACCTCAGAGCTCAGGACAAGGAGATTTCATTTCATACTTAATTTCTGAAGACTGTTTTCATCCAAGATTGCGGCAAGATTTAAACGTCATCGCAATCTTAGAGTCATCCTTTGCCCTGTCCCCAGTCTGAAACCCTCAGTGACCCTCTGTACCGCTTCCTCCTAGGAAACACGGACACTCCGCGTACCATCCGACAGACCCAGCAGTACATATCAAGGATCATGAAAACAAGGTTTAAGTCCGTATCACCAGACTTGCCACATAACTAGAATGTATCCAGAGACGTGAACAACTTTTTAAAAATGCCAACCATTTGGGAATGTTAATAAAGTGCGGCACATATTCCATAAGGTAGATCAGTGGCGGATACAGTGCCTAGCTTTCCTCCATTTCTCAGGGGTGGAATTATGCACATCACTTCTTCGTACACATCACTTCTTCGTACGAATCCGAATGACATACTCAGGAGCCTTTAAGGGTAGGAAGCCATTCATTCAGATACGTCTGCGTTTTGATAATTCCTGCCTTGTTTGGACCCACCTCATTTCACTTAAGAAAAGTGTGTAAGAGGTTTACAAAAGTACATGAAGTGGACTTTGGGCGATAACGGTGTGTCAAAGGAGGCGCAGATGGCCCAGGTGAGGGAGGCGGTGTTCGGGAGGCTGTGCCTGTGTGGGGAGGGGTATACGGCAAGCCTCTGTGCCTTTAATTTTGCTGTGGACCTACAACTGCTCTAATAAAAAAAGCCATTAAATACAAACATTTTCAAACACAGGGAGACAGTTGGGGGAGGGGGAAAACATCACAGGTGTGCCACGGTGAGGTGGTACCCAACTGGGCTGGCATCACAGAGACGCTCAGCTCCAAGACCTGTGAGATACCAGCTCAGTGCAGCAGACAGACTCTGCCTGGAAAAGCAACAGATTGTTCTGGAAAACAAACCTGGGTGGTTGTGCGGAACACCGAGAAAGGGCCTTCGTGAATCCTTATAAAGAAAACACTGCGTAATATGATGTGCTAAACGTGTGTGCAAGATGAATTTAGTTACTGAGATGGAGAATTCTAAATATTAAAGGTTTTTTTACTTATACATATTTAAATCAAACCCTGGGGGTTTGCAAGACTTTTTCCTGTCCAATGTGATCCACATACAGGTCACGTTTGAGACAATGTGGCGCTCTGTGACACGTCCAACTACACGTGTAGCTTCCTACCACACTTACCACCACAAGCGAACTGAGCACAGTCAGTCCCGCATTTTGTAAATGAAACTGAACTGTTTCAGTCTCTCTCTTGGAGCACTGCTCAGTGAAAAGCTAAGTCATGGTGCCTGGTGACATTTCATTTGGGTAGAGGTGGACGGGCAGATGGCGTCATTCTGGAGGGACCACACCGCAAATTTAAATGGAAGTGAATTTTGTATATTCAGAAGAATAAGTAATCCTTGGAAAGTCTCCATGAGCCCACATTCTTAAAGCTGCCAGTTGAGTAAGTATGGAATTGATTAAGTTTCTATTTTGACTGTGACTGATTGAGATCTGCTCCACATTTCAGAAGCTGGTTCAAGTGGAGTAATTTTATGTTTGCAAGAGATAAGGTGGCTCATCGTAGGAGCTAAGGTCCAAACACAAAGTACAGGGTTTCTTTAATAAAGGAACCTTTCCAAGGTGTGGAGGTGGGAACCAGGGACAGGGCGGGAGTCCAGGGAGTCTGCAGAACTGTCCCCACCTGTCAGCACCAGGGAACAAGCAGAGAAAAACTCTAGAACCATGAGGGGCACGCCCGGCAGGGATGCAGCCGAAGCTGACAGAGCTTCAGGGATGGCCTGCTCATGGTGACCTCCCCGGGGAGAACCAAAGACAGGGAACATTCCCGCAGGCCCTTCCTCCTGTCGGCCCCGTGAGAGAGTGGACACTGGTGTCCACCCGGGACAGCCTCCCAGGTGCAGAGCCAGGTGTCGGCGACATGAGAGCGAATCTGGAGGAGCGCACAGGGGGCGCCGGGCCAGTTTTGAAGTCACACCCTGCCCCCTAGATTCCCAGTGCAGCTCTGAGCTTCCCAACGAACCCCTCTCCTAATGTGCTCACTCCGAAGAGTCCTTACTGAACACAACTAGGGGTGGGATGATGGGGACAGTCAGAACTCAGCTCTCTCAAACAGTCACAGATTTTTCATTCTTTAAAAACTTACTTTTTCAGCTGATGTCCCAATCCAAACCGCTCTTTGGTGGAAATCTGAAAGACATCAACAGTGGGTACTGAAAGAAAAAAAAAATCAGTCAGAATGAGGAGCTTGAGAAACTCAACCACCAGCCAGGAAACAAGGGTAGTAATATATATCACTCTGTGTGCATGTGTGTGTGTATCCATATAAGAAATGGTACATATGTGCATATGTATACGTTACATAACATGTAATATACACACATGTAAAAATAGTGTACACACAGTGCTATGCATTGCTTATATGCTTTCTGTACAGAGAATTTGAAGATCATTCTTGATCATTACATGCTGTATCTTAAGGCATAATATGTGTATATATAAATTTATAATGTGTATAATAATGAAGAACGATTTTAAAAATGATATTAATTGTGAGCAGCAATGTGTAGATCAGTGAACACTATTCTTTCATTGGGAGAGAAAGGTCTCCATATGTACACACCTCTTTCTGGAATAGAATACCAGAGGGTGCGGGTAAGGCCCAGGTCATTTGCTGTTCACTACAGGCCCTGTCATGGATCTCCCATTTTTACCAGATATATGCATTTCTGTAAGTTAATAACTGTTTAGGAAATTAAGAACCTTTCAAAAAAGTCACTTACTAGTCATCATTCAATGGTTTTATTCCATTTTTCCTTATTTTATATAATTTAGGTTGGGAAAAACTGCTTAAGATACGTGAAAATTATTCTAATACTCTGATCATGGAAACATAGAGGTACCAAAAACAAAATGATTTATACAGAACAAACATTTTAATGTTAGTTGTTTACCACTTTAAAGTAAAAGCATCCCTGTCCTTGAGATCAGAAATCAGACTTATACACCACCAATTTGGAAAAACTGTGCATCGTAAGAATCATAACAATTGCGTTTTTTTTACTTAGACTGTATTTCCCCACGTACAATGAAAATAACCCTTATCTTTGATTTCAAAGTCGATAAGGGGGTAGGTGTACTTCTTCAATTCTTTTCATTCCTGTTCACTCCCAGATACAGTGTCAGATTAGCTCTAGCAAATATTATAGTTCACACAAGTATTACTTATACATTCCCAAGGCCTAGACATAAATGCTTCTCAAAAGAACTGGTAACTAGGTCAGTCTGAACCTTGGATCAGGCGTACAGTTTTTGCAAGTTACGCTGATACCCTCATAGACATATTACAAAACAGTCAAGACATACTTTCTCGCTTTTTAATTTGCTTGCAATGATCCGAATCATAAAATAAAATGAAGCCTAATTGTTTTTTCTGGAAGGATAAACTATGTGTTCCTTTTTAGTATCACTGTCTCTTGTTGCTGTCATGCATTTCACATGAACGCTCATTTTCCGAAGGAAAAATAGCCTCGGGGAAATGCACGAGCCAGCCGGCGACGTGGAGAGAGTCCGAACGGGCCTCATCACAACCAGGCACTCGGGAAACAGGAGGACACCAGCAAAGGAACAGAAACTTGGAATAATGCCAGCCCCACCTGAGAACCTTCCAGAGAATTGTACTACAGAGAGAACAGATGGAAGCATCTTCAAGGGCCCTACAGGGCTGACCCCACACCCCATCCTATGGAAGAGGCGGGAGCGAAGGCACACCACCACTCACACCTCCAGGTAAAAGGGGTGCAGGAAGGGGGCAGCGATGTCCCGGGCAGCTCCCCGCAGGGCTGGACTGGCAGGCTTCCTCCTCGTTCCTGCCCCGTGACCCACCATCTAAGGTCAAGCTGGAGCCTGAGCTAAGATTTGGGGGCAAAGCTTTACTACGGATTGCCTCCTGGAGAAACCAGTCGGGGATGGAGGACGGGAGGAAGACAGGAGAAGGGTCAAGTCCGAGCTCCAGCTGGCCCTGCGGGGACACTGGAGGACAAATTACCCCACAAAGCCTGCCCAGCCTCGAGACAATGTCACTGGGCCCCAGGGCCCCACTGTCACACAGAGGGTTGGGCAGAGGTAAGGGACCCCCAGGAGACAAGGCTGCACCATGTCCAACAGGGAAGCCCGGGGTGAGCTGCCAACAGTGAGACCCGAAGACGCTGGGGGGGACAAGGTGCGGAACTGAGAGCCAGTCCGCTCTCCCCAGCTGTCCGGTCTCCGAGCCAAGGCAGGCAGAGCAGAGGGCGTGTGCACCCTTTCTCCCAGCTTCTTCATGGGAGACCTTGTACACAAATCACGCTAACTGCCGAAGCAAGTGCCTTTCAACTCCTGCTTCAACACCGAGCGAAACAAAACTTCATCTCTAGGAATAAAATCATCGATCTCAGACGATTAGTGATTTATGTTCACAACCAAATTCAGAATAATGCTGCCTAAATAAAATAAATGCAATTGATGAGAAAGATAAAATCAGAGGGTATCAGTAAAGATGGCAGTCAAATTAAAAATAGAAGGGGAACATTACATCAAAGAGTGATCATGAAAAAATCAACTTAATGGAGAAGACAAGTAGAAAAACATATAAAAGGCTCAGGTGAAAGATGAAACAATACACAATATGAAGCCAGAGGTGTGAGATCCAATCCACCCATGTCAGGTGAGCAGACAAAAAAGGAACAACCCAATAATTACATAAAAGTTGTTTGGGTAAATTAAGACTTAAGTATATCAATTTTTAAAACATATAAAAGAATATCAAGGAGAAAGAAGAAAAAAAAAAACAGCCCAGTAAGTACATATAACAAGCATAAACAAAACCAAAATAGAGTTATTTCAAAGGAATAAAATGAAAACACTTCCGTATATAAACTAGCGTGATTTTTTAAAAGAATTTTTGCCTTTGGGGGGGAACGATTAGGACCCCATCAATGTATCCTTGGTCAAGCTTGTTCACAAAACCCAGGGCCATTCTCAGGTAGGAAAAGGCAAAGCACAACCCTCCTTGTCTTCGGTTCACAAACTATTAAATATGTAAATCAACTAACAGATGAAAAATCAAATTATGGATGAGTTGTAATACTAGATAAGTGTTTTTGAATGATAAAATCATCTAAACATGAATTAAAGTGTAGTTGTTCAAATATGTATAAAACCATGCAATTATAACATGTCTTTAAAGAGACACCGTGATGGGCAGCTCCGTCTGAAACTGACCATGATTTAAACATGAGCAACAGCAGGGAGATTACAGGACCGCGTACCCCGTTCCCTTCTCTCACTTGTGGACTTGGGCGGAGCAGAGGGGACTGATCCAATTCTGTTCCTAACCCCCATAATTAAACAATTAAAAAGTTCTCACATGAAAGCTTGTTCCCCTTTAACCACTACCAGAATAGAATGACATGGGCACATTTCAAATCATTAAAAAAAGAAAAGAAAAACCAGATATCTATAGGCTAGAACAGTGCACAGATAGTACAAATCATGCCATTTTAGAATATTTAATGACTTGAGAACAGTCTCATGACATAACATTAAGATGCATAAATACCAATCAATTCAATGCCCACTTTATGGAAATCAAACATGCATGTATAGAAAACGTAAACCATCCACAGTTTTTTTAGTATACAGGGATTATGAGTAATTATTTTTCTTCTGTATTACATGTAAATGTATTTGAAACAACCACAATAAGAAACACCTATTGCCTACCACTAAATCGCTTCGGTGACTGTTATTTGTATCGAGGACTGATTGAGTAGAATACATTACACAAACAGAGAAAAGAGGTGGCAGAAAAATCATTTTCAAAATGAGTGATTTCCCTGTATATTTCATCAACTTGAAAGGACAGCCATTCTTCTCCTGTGAAAACTAAAACAGGTGTAGGTTCCGTGACATGCCTAAAGAAAACAGTGGAGCATGGACGGCAGATGAAAGATGGTTGCAACCTCAGGAGGAACCATCTACATTCCCATCCCTTGATTCTCAGTGGGTTCTTCCACTACTGTGATCAACAGAGCACAGTGGGAGGTTCCCAGAGCCTCTTGCCAGGCAGCACCCACACCCTGTCTCTTGGAACACTTGCCTTCGGACCCCAGATACCATGTTACAAGTAGCCCAAACCCCATGAAGAAGTCATGTGCAAGGTAGACACTCGAGTCAAGAGCCTAGCTGGGCTCCAAGATGACATCTGCATCAGTTACCAGCTACGTGAAAGTTTAGCTACTTGAGCATCCAACCTTTAATGACAGAAGCCTCACACATCGTCCATCTGAATGCAAAACACAGGGGATTCCAAGCAAGAGCTGCCCAGTTGATCCAGAGAATGGTGAGAGATGAGTTGTTCAAGCTGCTACATTTTGAGTTGTTATGCAACAGTAGGTAACAGGGACAAAATGAATAGATCCAGCCGCGCACGCGCGCGTGTGTGTGTATGCATCTAAGTTAGTAGGCAGGAAAAAAGGAATTTAATTCATAACTCTTGGAAAGATTTATAGCAGGATCCTTTGTCATAAATAGCTATCCATTGAGATACAGCAAAATCATCCCTTAAGGTACTGGAACACAAAAATATTATTTTGATCTTCATTTTCAAAAACAGAGATATATTACACTCAGGTTAAATTCATCAGTAATCAAGGGTGAGAAAAATATAGATGAAAATTAAATCTCAGGATGGAGAGTGGAGAGAGAGGAGCATGGCGGGGGGCAGCACTGGTGGGTGGGTGAGAGGGTGAGCGAGTGTGAGCGGGTGTGAGTGTGGATGAGCATCCACGCAGCAGTGTGGAAACGTAGGGCAGATGTTTCCAGCGCTGTGGACGGCGGAGCAGCTGGCTACCTGCCCGCTGTGCAATCTTGTCAGGTGCTTCTCCTTGCTAGGTGCTTCTCCTTCTAGGGACTGGGCGGCCCCACTATTTTGGAAGATCTGCTGGGTCCTCCTTGGAAGGAGGCCGTGGGGAGCGGCTAGGGCCCAGCACCTCGTGGGCACGAGTGTGCCTTGCACCATCAGCCTGGCGACCTCTGCTATGCCGATACCAACCTACGCACAGTAGCCCACCACCCAGGCACCTGCCCTGGCAGAAGCAGAGGCAGCAGCGGCACCTCAGGACTCGTGCACCCCAGCAGCACACCAGCTGCACCCGCACCCCCTAGCGGTGCCTACAATGACACAGGAACGCGAGTGGAGAGCCGCCAGGACTCCCAGATGACGGGACTGGATCTGAGGACCAGGTCTGGCATGACCCAACACCTCTGGAGGCACCCACCTGCCAGCACAACCCGGTGCACCCCAAACCACAAGGCTGCGAAATGGTGAGACAAAGAATCTCCAAATGAAAGAAAATGAGGAATCACCAGAAAATAAATGAAATGAAATGGAGGCAATCGGTTCGTCAGATAAAGAATTCAAAGTAATGGTAGTAAAGGTGCTCAAACAATTTAGGGAGAATTACAAGCAACTTAATGAGAACTATAAAGAACTCAGCAGGAGATTGAAAAAAGAGGTAAAAGCTGTTAATAAGAATGAAGTGGAAACAAAGAATGACATTGCTGAAATAATCACCTTGGAAGGATTCAATAGGACATTAGAAAAAACAGAGGACCAAATCAGCAAGGTAGAATTCAAGGTGGAAAAACCACTTAGCCCAGCTGCTATGGCTCAGTGGTTGAGCATCAACCCATGCACCAAGAGGTCACCAGTTCGATTCCTGGTCAGGGCACATGCCCAGGTTGTGGGCCAAATCCCCAGTGGGAGGCATGCAGGAGGTGGCCTATCAATGTTCTGTCTCTTCGATGTTTCTATCTCTCCCTCTCCCTTCCCTTCCTCTCTCTCTAAAATTGAGAAAAAATATTTTTTTAAAGATTAGCAAATCATATCCAGCAGTATATTAAAAATGTTATTCACCACAACCAAAAGGGATTTATCTCAGGGATGCAAGGCTGGTACAAAATTCACAAATCTATAAATGTGATATACCACATAAACAAAATGAAAGATAAAAATTATATGATCATATCAACAGATGCTGAAAAAGCATTTGACAAAATGCAACATCCATTTTTGATAAAAAACACTTAGCAAAGTGGGAATAGAAGGATCATACTTCAACATAATAAAGGCCATATATGACAAACCTACAGCCAACATCATACTCCATGGGCAAAAAATAAAAGCATTTCCCTAAAGAACAAGAACAAGTCAGGGATGTTCACTTTCACATTCAACACAGTACTGGAAATCTTATCCAGTGATCAGACAAGAAGAAAAAATAAAGTCATCCAAATTGGAAAGGAGGAAGTGAAACTGTAATTATTCACAGAGGACATAATATTGTACATAGAAAACACTACAGACTCCACCAAAAATCTACTAGACTTGAGAAATGAATCTGGCAAAGTAGTAGGTTACAAAATCAACATTCAGAAATTAATGGCATTTTTATACACCAATAATGAACACTCAGAAAGAGAAACTTAAAAAAAAATCTCATTTACCATTGCAACAAAAAAATTAAAATACCTAGGGATAAACTTAACCAAAAAGGTAAAAGACCTGTTCTCGGAAAACCTCAGGACATTGGAGAAAGAAATAGGGGACGATATAAAAAATGGAAGCATATACAATGTTCATGGATTGGAAGAATCAACATCATTAAAATATCCATATAACCCCAAAGTAATATATAGATTCAATGTAACCCCTATTAAAATACCAAAGGCATATTTCACAGAGTTAGAATGAAAACTCCAAAAGTTTATATGGAACTCAAAAAGACCCCTAATAGCCACAACAATCTTTAAAATGAAGACCAAAGTTGGAGGAATCGCAATATCAGATATCAGGTTATACTACAAAACCACTGTAATCAAAATAGCCTGGTACTGGCACAAGAACAGGCACACAGATCAATGGAACAGAACAGAGAACCCACAAATTGACCCAAGACATTATGCTCAATTAATATTTGACAAAGGTGGTAAGAGCATACAGTGGAGTAAAGACAGTCTCTTCAATAAATGCTGTTGGGAAAACTGGACAGCTACATGCAAAAAAAATGAAACTTGACCACTAACTTACACCATACACAAGAATAAACTCAAAATAAAATTTTAAAAAAGACTTAAATATTAAGTCATGAAACCATAAATATCCTAGAAGAAAATGTAGGCAGAAAAATTGTAGACATCACAAGAAACAAAATTTTCACCAACATATTGCTTAGGGCAAGAGCAACAGAAACAAAAAAAAATTTAAAAATGGGGCTACATCAAACTAAAAAGCTTCTGCACAGCAAAAGAAGCCAGCATAAAAATGAAAAGGAACCCACTGTATGGGAGAACATATTTGCCAATGACACATTGGATGAGGGGTTAATTTTCAAAATATATAGTGTGCTCATACTCAACAAAAGAAAGACAAATAATCCAATTAAAAATGGGCAGAGTATCTGAAAAGACACTTCTTTAAACAGGGCATACAAAGGGGGCCAAGAGACATATGAAAAAATGCTCAACATCCCTAACAATCATCAAACAAGTGCTGGCGAGGGTGTGGAGAAAAGGGGACTCTAGTACGCTGCTAGAAACAATATGGTGTTTAAAAAAAAATTAAAAATTGAACTGCCATTTGACCCAGTGATCCCACTTCTAGGAATATACCTTAGGAAGCCTGAAACACTAATCAGAAATAATTTATGCACCCCCTATGTTCATCGTAGCGCTATTCACAATAGCTATGATCTGGAAACAGCCCAAGTATCCATCAGTAGATGAGTGGATAAAAAGCTGTGGTACATGTACACAATGGAGTACTATGCAGCTGTGAGAAAGAAAGATCTCTTACCATTTGAGAAGATACGGAGGGACCCAGAGAGTATTATGCTAAGCAAAATAAGCCAGTCGGAGAAAGACAAGCACCATATGATCTCACTCATTTGTGGAATATAATGAACAAAATAAGCTGTCGAACAAAACAGATTCAGACTTGGAAGCAGGGAACAGACAGACAAACCTCAGAGAGAAGGAGGTGGCGGGGGGAGATAAACCAAAGATCTTACATGCATATATGCACAACCGATGGACACAGACAGCAGTGTGGTGAAGGTGTGTGTGTGGGGGGGGGGGGGGGAGTGGGGAGGAGGGTGTCAACGGGGAAAAAAGGAAGGATATCTGTAATACATTTAACAATAAAGATAAATTTTTAAAAAATAATCTCAGAATCATAGACATAATCAAATCTAAGGGCAACCCAAAAGACACTTGCTGAAGTTTTGCTATCTGCAAAGTTCCCTGTTGGGTTTGAATGTGCTTATTTCAGAGCAACCTGTCAACTTCGGAAATCTATACAACTCAATGTTATATGTTTCTCTATTAGTTATATTAGCAATAAACCATCTTTGTTAGAAGTGTATTTAAATATCATCATCAAGACAGCTGCATTTGCGCTTAGAATATCCAACTGCACAGTGTGCTTAATGCTCAGCTAATTAATCCTCGAAACAGCAGAGAAATAAAACCGACCTGGGCCATTCAAATACTGCGTCAGCGAGCAGTGCAGCCGGACGATGATGGGCTCTGTCCGAACCATTTCCCAGGCCACAGCGATCTCCTCCTGGCGAAACAGACGCGTGGGGAAGATGCATTAGTCCTGTTAGAGTTCTCGGTGCATTTTCCCCAGTTTAAAAACATTTTTAAACTTATGTTGAAGACATGCATAAATCATTAAGCCTTACAAATGATCGCCAAACCGACCGGTTTGTGAAAAGAAAACCAAAGTACTTTTAATTTTTGCCTTCTCACGTGAAAATAAAAATGAAAACGTAAGAAATACTGAAGTACTATACTGGGAGCCTGAAAATTTCAGGGAATATTTAAGAATCAACACAAATACATACATATTTCTATACACATATATGTGTACATATATGTGTGTGTGTATATATAAGCTGTTTCTTCAACCAGTCAAAGCATTTCTTCATAAATTACTCTGAAAAAGCCAATGTTATAAATGTCAATAGCATAAGAGAAACAAAAGTTATATTTTTCTCCAACAGAAATAAGCATTTTTTAAATATAGCCATCACGTTGCATACATTGATACTTACGTCAAGAAAGCTGACATCGATATGCAAATCAATATCTACGTCATCAATGGCTCCGTACTCCCTGGAAGCAAAGATTAGCATCAATTTTTTTTTTTTCAACTTCCTGAGAAGACGGAGTGTCCTAGGTTGTTTAAGTTAAAAGCTGAATAATAGTCTCATCTCTGATTTGCAGACAGCTCAGGAATGACTGGACCTGAATTAACTAACTGCGTCTAGTTGGACTGCCGTGTCCTGTGACCCCTTGGTCCCCGACAGACATTGTTCCACCTTCAGCCACGTGCACACGCACAGGTCGTGTCAAGAGTTTTTTTGGCCCATAGTTTCAAACATCCCCGGTTCTCTGTGGCAAAGCAAACAATCTCGAGTGGCTTCCCTGTGCTCACCGGGCTCCCCGAGGGTGCAGAGTGGCTTCCAGAACCATGAATGAGTCTCAGACACGAAGACGGGGCGGGGAAAGGATTTCCTGCCACAACAACATGCCATGAATTTTCTTCCGTCGATGGCTCTGCAGGGGAGCCAGGTGGTCCCACAGAAACGTGACTGTTCGATCGGCGGCTCAGAAAGTCTAACCCAGCAACGACAGCGCCCTTCCACACAGACCAATGAAGGCCAGCTTTTCTCCAGCCCAGGGAGCACCACACACCAGCATGTTGCTTAAAAGGCTAACAGAAGAGTCCTGGCCAGTTTGGCTCAGCGGTTAGAGCATCGGCCTGCGGTCCAGAGAGAGCCGGGTTCGGTTCCCGCTAAGGGCATGTACCTCGGTTGCAGTTTGTCCCCGGCCCTGGTTGGTCGTGCGGGTGGCAGCCACTCGATGTGTCCCTTTCACATCGATGTTCCTCTCTCTCCCTCCCACTCTACCTGAACAAAAAATGGAAAAATGGCCCTGGCCGGTTTGGCTCAGCGGTTGGAGTGTCGGCCTGCGGTCCAGAGAGAGCCGGGTTCGGTTCCCGCTAAGGGCATGTACCTCGGTTGCAGTTTGTCCCCGGCCCTGGTTGGTCGTGGTTAGAGCGTCGGCCTGCGGTCCAGAGAGAGCCGGGTTCAGTTCCCGCTAAGGGCACGTACCTCGGTTGCAGTTTGTTCCCAGCCCTGGTCGGTTGTGTGGGTGGCAGCCGCTCGATGTGTTCCTTTCACATCGATGTTTCTCTCTCTCTCTCTCTGTTCCTCTCTCTCCCTCCCACTCTACCTGAACAAAAAATGGAAAATTGTCCTTGGGTGAGGATTGAAAAAAAAAAAAAGTTAACAGAAGAGTATAAAAAGGATGGTTTTTATATCCTCCCTAGACACACGTCTCTGTTTTTGATGTTTTTATAAAAGTCTGGGCACCAACGCTACGCCTAGTGAGGGAGACAGCTGGAAAGATGGCAGAAATGACAGAAGTCAATGGTCAACATTTACGGAGCCGGAAATTGCTCTCGGGATGTTTTGCATGTGTGACCAGATGCACTCATTCATACATGCATTAACCAGACCCCAAGTGATCAAGGCAGCCAGCTAGCATCCCTCTGTGCGTACAGAGTCGAACCTGAACACGTACGTCCTATTTATTCATGCTGCTGCTCAGTCAACCTTCAGTCGACCACCACTCTGTGCTGGAAACCAGGTTGGACATTGATGGGTGATCTCGTTAGGGCCCCTCAGAGCCTTCCCACAAGAGCACTACTGCCGTCCTCACTTCCAGAGAGAAAACCCAGGTGCCGGAAAGCACGATCTGAAGGGCAGAGAGGAAGTCGGTGGGAAAGGCAGCTGCTGAGTCAGCGCTGCTGAGTCAGTGCCTGGCACCTAGCACGCAGTCAATGAAAATGTCTGTGTATCAGACAAACATTCGGGTAATGCTAATAGAGTACGAAACTGTGGCACTTCTACAGGGTTCAGGGAAGGCATTTCGAATGATTCGATAGTTTATGTAAATTGATGCATAAAAGAATCTAGGTAGCCTTTTTACTTTTGATATCTAGGGCAAAAACTTGCGGCATTTTAAAATACAGCTTAGCCTCTCTCCTTTCTCCATCCTCCCTTTAAAAATAATGGAAAGCACTGAGCACATTTTTGTTATTTAAAAAATCGCACTTTCTTTTCTTTCCTGATAATTCATTTAAAGGTTAGAAGATGAAAAGGTCAAAAATTCACATAGCGAATGTTTAGAACTGCGTGTGCCAAAACATGTGATCATGCTATTCAGAGTAAGAGCCTTCATTACCTTATGCAAAAGTAGACATCATATGCAGATTTAAATAAAAAAAGATGCCACCTCGTGATGGAGTTACTCAGAACCTAGACAAGCACAGGACTCAGCCCTGAAGCGCTGCTTCTGTGCCTCTAGTTCTGGGTTCAGTAAACTGTCCAGGAACGGTCAAGACAGTAAGTATTCTAGGCCACACAGAGTCTCTGTCATTCTCCTCTTGCTTGTCTGTCTGTTTGACAACCTCTTTAAAAGCACCCACGTGTGGCTCACGAGCTTTGCAAAACCAGGGCCCAGGGTCACGATGTGCTGACCGTGAGCCGGCCAGTTATTCAGAAATACGACACGTCAAATATCCACAGTGAGGCGTGGAAAGAAGAGGAGTACAGGTGATGCTGGGGACAGACTGACGATGGTCCACAGACACTCGAGGGGGTGAAGCGTGACTACAACCATTGCCCCCAAATTACAGCTCGTGCAGTGTCCCCTGGAAGAACGTACGTAACAGCAGAAGCTGGGAATGAAATGAACACTGAGTAAGAAAACACTTAAACTACAGCACATGGACATGATTTTTTAAGAATTACCCATTACTAACAAAGTGGATAATAAAAACATTTAATATCCTGAAGGAAATGTTCCAACATACCACTTACTAAGCAAGTCGATCACCAAAGAAGTATGCAAACTAATATAACCATTTAATAAAATAGAATTAAGAAAGCCAATAAAGTAAAGAGAGTACATCTATCCTAACTAAATTGTGGGTGAAATTTACTTCATAAATGTGCTATATATTTTCTAAAAACGGAGACTTTTTCTGATTAGAAAAGTAATATAGGCTCACTATATATTAAATGACAAATAGAAAAACAAGCAAAAATAACTCTGTGACACCCCCACTCCGGGATCATTCTTTTGCTTCTATCTCAGGCTGGTCTCTTTCGGATACTAATGTATCACACGACATACAAGAGACTGGGGACAGTACCATAGGTCAAGACTCCTGTGCTATTCTTCACTTCTTCTATGACTGTGGTTTCTGAATCGTGGAATAGCTTCCTCAACGACAAACTTAAGTGGCTGTATTTGTATAAACAGAATTGCATAATGTAACATTAGGCTGCTTTCCATTCTTTCTTTACACTGTAAGTATCGATGAATAGGTCCCTGGATAAAAATCTTCTCACGAAACAATTTCTGGAATTGCTGAGCGAAATAAATGGTACAACTATACTGAGGAGTCTTGGTCGACGCATATTGTTTAATGGTATCTTACAGGTTACAACCACTCACGATGCTGCCCGCCAGGGAGGAGCGAGCAGTCCCCATGGCTCCATCCCCACCAGGTACTGGTGTCTGCCCTCCTTTGCCAGTTTCATAGGGAAGAATAACTTTTATTTGGATTTATTTATGATGGCAGGACGTGGGCAGACAGCAAGAAATGAGAGATAAAGATCGGAAAGAGTCCAGCCGGTGTGGCTCAGTGGTTGAGCATCAGCCCAGGCACCAAGGGGTCACTGGTTCGATTCCCGGTCAGGACACATGCCCAAGTTGTGGGCCTGATCCCCAGTGGGGGGCACGCAGGAGGCGGACCATCAATGTTCTCTCTCATCGATGTTTCTCTCTCCCTCCCTCTCCCTCTAAAATCAATAAAGGGAAAAAAAGAATTTGTTTTTTTACATCAGGAGGAACCTTCCCCACAGGTTTCTTCATAAAGAGATTTCCAGACCACGCAACAGAATCTGTCATGAAGTTATGGATCAGAATGCGACATCATCCTTTTGAACCCTTCCTAGTGAATATTGAAGCCTTCTTGATAGGATTTCTTCAACTCTCTTTTGGTGAAAAGGTCGTCTCCTCCCCAATTCTAACACTATCAATTTCTTTCAAAGAAGGAAAAAAAAGGAAATACAGGGCTAAAAATGCTCGCCACAGCTTGGAATTCTAAGGAGGCAGAGGCATTAAAAGGTGTGCAACTAACTGGATTCTGCAGGTGCAGGTCCCAAATGGTTCCTCTTTTAGCTTCCCCGCCACACTTCAGAGAATTCGCAGCCATGCTGTGTACATGCGAACCCGCTTCTGCCACGCGGCCTTTGTATACGATGCCGGTAACTTCACACGGGGTCGCAGCGGGATTGCGTTCTGCCCAGACGCAGCCACCCAGTCCTAGGGCCTCTGCCCAGTGGCTCTCGGTAGCCCAGAGCTCACAAACTCTGCAAGTGCAGAACCTTGGCAGATGCTGGGGACCAGAGGCACCTCGAGCTGCGAGACGGGGTGTCTGATGGTGTCCCGAACGCGCCGCTGGGTTTGGGGTAACTCAGAGCCGCCTCGCGCTCTGCCTGTGTCCACTCACGGTGGGAGCGCATCGGCGTGGGCGTGGACACCGTCCGAAGGTGACGGAAGCACACAGGCGCAACCTGACCCAGCTCTCGGCCTGAGGCTCGGGGTCTGAGGGGACCTGCTCCCCAAATTCCTTTCCAGACATCCCAGCTACTCGGATCAACGCGGCGTCACACCTGGCCGTTGGGTGTGGTTACTTCCATGTGACCTAGTTTCCTCAAGGACAGGGCGGGGCTGTCGTGGGCTCACTGCTGCTCGTAGGGAACAGAATACAGTAACGAATACATAATAATACAGGAATGGACTCTGCTTCACGTACTCACAGCCGTACCCCTACTTTGCCGACCCCTGTACATGAAATATATTTTTCCATGAACATGTATTTTTTTTAGGGCACTTTGTGTTAGAATTATTGCCAATTTACTCTCCTTATAGGAAATAATCAAGACAACATCCTTACTAGTGAGACGTCACGTACATACTCTAACAGATTGGATACTACGTGGTCTGTGCCGGTTCTTTTTCTACACAACTACAGC